TTGAAAAGAACTAATTATCAAACTTAAAAGTAGCTCTGATCTTTTACCAGATAATATACAACTATTTATATCTACTGAAAATCGGTCTCATGGAGGAAAAAATAATTGAATACTCATCAGTAGTATAATTGATGCATGTTTACCGAGGCAACAAGTCTTATGTTATCATCTTAATGGACGGTCATGCTTATCAAATAATACCACTACATCAACATTGTCCATGTGAAGCCCATCATTCTTTCATAGAAACAATATATGGAGTCAAATGATTAAAGACAAAGTGATTTTATTTTACTTAAAGCCAGATTCATCAAACAAGAAGACGATCTAATGGCCGAATATAATGAGCATAAATTTTAACTTGGATTGATATTATCAATAATGTCTTTAGAAGTGTGATAATAAACGAGGATATTAAATCAATATCCACAACCATAAAAGAACTTATATAAATTGCCACCACATCGCTTGAAACCTGTTAGAAGATCCTCACCGGGATGGCATCTCGTTTAATTGATTGTCGACAAAAATTATCATTTCAATGAGTTGCTCAACACATACAAATAACAAACAACTGCTGTAACGTATCGTAGAATGATTTACGACAGAAAGTGTATAAAGAATTTTTCATTTGGCTACTTCTCTTTTGCGAATATGAATAAAAAAGAACTTAAATTTGAAATTATTTTTTCAAATTTTCCTTCGATGTAATGTTGAGAATAATATAATTTTTTTTTATGAGAAACGAAGATTTAAATATTTTTATTTCAAACTTTTGATTTGTAAATGCTAAAATGAAAAACATTTGTTTTCTGAAATTTTAGTGAAAAATTGATGTCAATTGTCAAATGAAAGTTTGTAAAATTAACTTTGTGATTGCAGTTTGTAGAGGACGAATAGAAAAAGTTCTACAATGAAATGAAAGTTTTTTAATTTGTAGGGAACGCTACCTTTTTGAATGGATATGTAACTTGAGGGTATGGCTGTGAATGGGGTGTGATATGTTCAGACACGCATACCCACCTACAACACCACACACTTACATCCTTTTTATTAAGTAAAGTTCATTTTATTTTTATCAATTAATTGTTTGTCTTACACCAAAGAAATTCAGAGTAGATATACATGGTTTTATAGTTCACTCACGATCGAGATGACAAGCTTTCCTCGAACTAATGTATATCTAACATATATTTCATCCAAAAGTAGACTCGAATTTTCATTCTTAAGTCACAGATAATGTCTTACTGCATACAACAATAACCAGTAATATATAGAGACATTATCTATGACTCGATCAACAATCAATAATTGAATAGATAAATTTTTACTTTTATTATTTGCTCTTGCGAAGCTTCACTAACCTATACTGATAGAGAACTTAAACGTTGTACTATTTTCATGATTATATGTCGAGAAATCAAGACAAGTAATCATAAATGCAAGTGATATTCGTCAATAAAAGGATGTCGTATGTGTATAAAGAACTTGTTTTTTAACAATAGAATAATTTTCCATTGTATCTCAAATTCGAATTATCATTTCTGAAGACTGATAAGTCGTAAAATAAAATGTCATTTTATAAAATCTGTTTTTCCTCTAGATAACAAACTTTCCGATGATTCATCAGAAATTTTGATAAGAATTATTTCAAACTGATTAAATAAAAATATTTTTCGTGCTGTGCATGAGTAGCTGTCAAGCTTTTTATCACTTGATAATTTGTGACTATCCTTAAATAATGTGGCTTGCTATCTATTAAAAATACAAATATGAAAACATGCGACACATTTATATGTTCAATAATAGATTGGAAAAACTTTACAGGATTGATGGAGCATTTTGAAGGCTTGATTCGAACTTAACATTTTTTCTCACTGTATGTTTCCTAATCGCAATATAAATATCCGATGTATTTCGCCATTTCTAGTATTGAGATGTTCGTATACTTTAATAAAATAAATGAAAATGATTTGCCTAAATTGAGAAGTAAAGATAAAAAATCAATTTAAAAAAAATGCTATTCAACATACAGGTTCATGTAAGAATTGTTTAAGAAATATTCGAATGCAAAATATATTTTAGAAAATACAAAGTATCAAAACAACGAAAAAAATTGATTAAATTGTATTATTTTTATGATCAAGATTGTGTTATTATGGTGTACTATGTTATTCAGTGATTGTTCCATCAACAAAGAACCTATCATTATCGTCATCTATCATCTGATGACGCTATTCAAGTTGTATACAAATGAAAAAATTGCATTGTTGTTAACAAAGACGATCATGTTTTGATTGATGCTAATAAACCTGCCACATAAGTAAATGTCACACGAAAAAGCTTTGAAAAATGAGAAAAAGATACATTGTTTAAACAAAAATCAACGCCAACTGAGGAGCAAATAGAACAATGAAGTAACGGTTTAGGACAAAACATTAAAAATATTCGATATTGGAATTGCGTTGATTTAAGTAATTTTTTTATTCAGATAAATATATTTTTTTAAAGATCAATCTTTTAAGGCCAAATGGATCAGAGATGGGACCGGTTCGGTTTTTAACCGAACCGAACCGACCGACCGTAACCGAAATCGGTTCGGTTGGAGATTTTTAGAGAATTCGGTCGGTTACGTTCGGTTCGGTTAGAGACTTTTTCGGTTACGGTCGGTTCGGTTAGAAATTTTAAAAAATTCGGTCGGTTATGTTCGGTTCGGTTAGAAAGAATCAACATAATCGTTTCATTTGAGTTCAATGGACTTTTTCAGTGAAACATAAGAAGAAAAAAGAATATAATCGTACAACAACTAGCTGTTGCTCGCAACGCGGATTATCTCACATATTTTTAAAATTTGCCCTGAGAGGTAAGGAAGTTATAATACAGTAAGAAGATCCAATAAATAATCTTTATTCTTTGCTTTCTCTAAGTGTTCATTACTTTTAGTTGCTATTATTTGATTTGTTGTTGCTAATTTATAAAGCACTAATACCCTAACTAAAATAAGCTAAACTTCGCTTTCTCTAAACTCGGTTCGATTACGAAATTTTTGAAATTCGGTCGGTTACGGTCGGTTCGGTTAGAAATTTTTAAATATTCGGTCGGTTACATTCGGTTCGGTTAGAGATTTTTTCGGTTACGGTCGGTTCGGTTAGAAATTTTAAAAAATTCGGTCGGTTACGTTCGGTTCGGTTAGAGATTTTTTCGGTTACGGTCGGTTCGGTTTGGCAAAAATGCCAACCGATCCCACCTCTGAAATGGATGCATGTATTTTGCTCGTGCAACAAGCACCACTAAAATTTTACTAGACAAAAAAACACTTATTGTATTCACGTTTTAATTGTTCTGATTGTGTATTTTGTATGGACACATCTAAGTATAAACTTGCATTTAGTACTGAGCGAACACAAGTGATAACTTGACATATGACAGCAATTTGTTTTACAATACCAATTTTTTCCTTATATAAAATTTGTTTTCTTTCTGTTTATAAAGAAAAAGTGATTTTGAATATGCTGCACTTGATTAATAGAATTCATTTTAAATATGTAATGTTATTGGTTGTTCTACAAAAATTTAGTCAAATCTTTTGATTGTTCCACTGTTGTAACTATATTCACTTTTGTTCTTTAATACTATTCTCAAAGCTTCAGTTTTTTGTCTACTGGTATGTATCGATTTTTTAGAATAAAAGCCATGAAAAAATCTCAAACATTCACGGTAAACTATGCTCATTAAAGCCTGCTTCTATGCAAAGTTTCAAGTCAAAACTGAGTTTTCCAAGTATTCCTGAGGGGAGAGCTACGACACTATTCAAAAAAGACCGTTAGAATTCAGCACCTTAGCAATGATAAATTAATGACCCGAACTGTTTTCAAACTATTGACGGCTTATTAGGATCTGCATAAAGCACATAGACTGGACTCAAAAGCAATTTGATATTTAAAAATGCTCCCTTGTTAGCGTAGATGCAACTCAAATGTATTATTTTTCACAATCATAAATAGGCGTGGCCAGCCATTGATTACTTCCATATGCGGAGAGTTCGAAATTTGAAGTAAAGCAGGTCGAGTCTACCATTCAAAAGAGAATAGAGTGGATAACTTGAAAATTCCTCTAAAATATGGTAATTGAATACCTTTTCAAACAAGAATCAATCAAATACAAGCTATTTTTCTACATATGACCTTTGTAGAAATGTTAAATCTCTAAGAACCAAAACAATACGTTAGAAAACAATCTATATTTTCGATGACATTTCATAATAAAAACTCTTATAGTGTATATTATTTGAAAACTATCGTAACTAAAACAACGCTTCCAGATAGAATGTTTGATTTAATATTCGCATACGTTTTTTAGAGATGCTACGTTACAAAATCTCATTAGTGTTGGAATTTTGTAATATTTTCAGATCATTAAGCGTTTTGCACTGTTTTTATTCATAAAAATCCACATATTCGAAATTAGCATTGAACTCTGAACAAAATTAAATATTCAGTTAATCAAAGCTTCAATTTTTATTTTTTTTGAATCAAAAAATTTTTTTGTTGGATTGTACAGGAAATTACACTAGTGGATGCAGAATTCGATGCCGGTAGTACATATTTGCTTGTTTTAGCCTTTTTTATCTTCAGCCTGATCGAAATTGTGATTTGCTAGAAAAGAATTAAACTCAGTAACGCTGGATCATGCTGTAATATGTTTTTATTCAGTCGAAAACTTTACTAATATTTAAAGTGTGTATCATCTATAAATATCAATAATATTATTCGTAATACGAATCAATGAGGGAATGAACAATAAATTCTTTAAAAAAAAAACAAGATCAAGAATGAGTCTTATTGTTAGACATGTATAAGAAACCGATTTGTTCTTTGTTACACATGAATTCTGATTTTAATTTTGTTTTTGTGAAACAAAAAACAATAGATGATTATAAAAAGAGACCAAAAAGAATTCAAGTTAACAAGAATCATGAAAAACAAAATGTATCTTATGAATTAAACACTTGTTATTGGCTTGAATCGTTCTGCACGTTTAGCTTTTTGTTCCTAAAAAGTAACATTAAAATTTTAAAAATCAAAAAGAAAGAAAATTACACATACATTTAATGTATTTGCTTTAGCAACATCTGCTACATCACCGAAACGTTCAGTTCTTTTTTTGATTGCATCTGATACCACTTCAGTTGTTGGTAAAGATTTCCTATCAATTTTATTTTTTGTCGACACAGCCTTCAATAAAATATTTTATGAATTGAAAATGAATATCAAATTCTTCTTACACTCGATGGTGTAACGACACCAAAACGATCGATACGTTTTTGTTTGGTTTCTTCATCGATAGTGACTGTTGGACTATTTACATTAAAACGTTCAGCTCGTTGACGTTTCTTTTCTTGTTCATTTTCCTTGATTTAATAGGTAAGATTTTTTTTTTTTAGAAAATTTCATTTTAATAAATAGTCACTTACAGTTGAATCAGGCAAAGTACCAAATCTTTCTAAACGTCTTTTCTTAGTCTCATTATCAATGGTTTCCTATAAAAAAAACAACAAAGACGAATGTTCTTTTGTTTTATTTATCTATCAATAAAATTCATCATTTACATGTGGTATACCAAAACGTAATGCACGTGAAATTTTCTTTGCTTCAGGTGCTATTGTTCCAAAGCGTTCAAGACGTTGTTGAAATCGCTAGAAAAAAAAACAAACAATTAATTAATATCTTGCAAAACTACAATTAGAAACTTACATCACTTCCTAATAATTCTTCATTTTCATTATCGACATTAACACTATGAGAGTTCGATTTTTAATTCAAAAAGAAAAATTGATTCAAATAAAATGGTTATTTACTTACATCGATGTTTCAAGATGTTCTTTAGCTTGCTCTACTGGATCAACAGTTAATTCTGTATCAACAACTGCACTTGATGTCATTTTATGGAATACTTTGAAAACTAATGTTTATCTTAAACTGAAATTATTAATCATGAGTGTTCAACATCAGGTCGCAACAATCAACGTGAATTGACCCGAATCAGGTCAAACTCACGTTAATAGTTGCGACCTCATGTCGAACACTGTTAATCATAAGAAAGAAAAGCATAAACGCTACTGTCAATATAAACCAATAAAAAAATTTTATTACAATATATGATTTGTTTGTTCTTAACCAATCGATATTCAATAACTGTTTAGTAGTTTTCGACGTATTAAATTATAAATTTCAATCGAATTAACTATTCGATCTTGCCTTGAATGTATTAATATTTACGAACAAGAGTAATAATTATTAAATGTCATCTTATCGTTTTTTTTATTTCTAACATACATATGATAGTAAAAATTAATTCAGAGAAATATTTTTTAATCTGAATCAAACATGTCTACCTTTTCATATCATTATTTATGGTATCTTTTCATATCATTATTTATGGTATCTTTTCATATTTTTGTCTTTATTTCACATGAACATATATTTTATGACAAGATGTGAATAGTAATAACTTTGTTTCAGATGTCTACTATTAATAGAAGAACTTACAAATTGATGTAGAAAAATGAATTATGTATATTGATTATTATTTTTTTTTTGCATATTCTTCAATATTCATGAAATGTAACATTACCTTGCTTCATTAAATAATAGAAAAAAAATAGTTAAATTATTCAACATAGCTACTAATGTAGCAGCAAAACGATAGTAAATCGCACTAGCACTTACGATTCAATTATTCCAAACGATATTCACCTTTTAAGTTCATATTGAGATCTTAGTGATACTTACAAAAAGAATAAAGACTTCATTCTCATAGGCGTTTGCCATCAAGCAATGATCAGTTTACGTGTTTTCAATCAAAACTTTTGCCTATCGATAAGATCTAATGACACTTAGAAAACCCTATTAGTTTCAGATGAAAACAATATTCCTTTGACAAAATATTGAGTTTCCAAAAAAAAAGCCTTTTGGCACAGACACAGACTTCCTACAAAAACCTAGTTCACGTGAAGATTGAATAGTTCAGCGAAAAAACATTTCTTTCTTTCGAAGCTCGGTCATTTGGTTTTTTCTAAAAAAATAACTAAAAACAGTTAAAAAATCTAGCTAATCAATCATAACTTGACGACAAAAGCTAATGAGTTCGAATAGTTTCTTCGTCAGCGAAATTTTTTGATCTTTTTCCTAAATTTTATAAAGTCATTAAAGATGAACATTGATGTTATTGTTGCATTTCTCATCATGTGAGCTCTAGATATTGTAGAAATTAGAACTTAGAACTATCGGCAACTGAACTTAATTTATTCGAAAATAGATTTGAGTTTTCATTGAACTAGTACTCAATGGAAGACAATAAAGTTTATGTATTGCCGAATAGTGAACAAATATTAAGCCAGCTTTAACAAGAATGTATTTATTAAATCAAGTGATCCAAATCATAATCATGATTCTAAATTACCAGACCATGTTTAAGTTATATAATTCGGATTGAAATATGTAATAGGCACCAGGCTCAACAAACCCGTAGAGAAAAGTTATGAAGAAATGAAAAAATTTGTACATATTTATGCGTTTCATTTGCACAGCAAATAGAAAATTGTGTTTGATGTGGGTAGCATCGTGAAAATAGTATAGCTACTTCAATTCTATTCAATAGAATATGGAAATCAATGTTATATTCTTTTCGTTAAATAATGTTACCTGAAACATCGGTATCTTCGAAGAAAGTTATTACATTTACAACAGAACAAGGATTAAAACTATCGAGTGAAAATTCCTATTGGATTCATAAGACTGTCTATTAGACTCCAGTCTGAATTTAAACAAAACAAACGAGGATTTGAGTGTGTCGATAGACTTAGAAATTTAAAAAAATTCGAACATACGTGAATTCTATATGGAAAACACAAAAAAAATGGCATTTTTCATAACAAAACTGACATAACTATTGATGTATTTCAAACTCATTGATTAAAAGCGACATTTTAATGGAGCGATTGCAATAAATATGATTTCTAATCAGAATCATGGAGGTGAGTTGATGATAAGGTTAGTTCCAATCAATGAATTTCAAAGACATAGATTTTGGTGTCTGTTTCATCATGTTGAGATAGTTTTATTGGTTTCCTTATCCCTGTGATGGTTCGGTGTGGAGGTATTTCTTCTCTTCAATCACGTTCACACAATGATTTACATTAACATTTATACCCATGGTTGAAACATGCATTCTTCAGTAGGTCACTGACTTGTCTCGTATTTCAGCTCGAAAGCTGTCATTTTTGTAGTCAAAATGATCAACACAAAAATTTCTACAAAACAGCTACTTGATGAGGGCGTATGTGAAGAGTACACCCATACTCACTAGATACTGACATTCCAGGAAAGAGAGTCAAACACTTATAAAAGCCTTATGATCGCGCATATGTTGAAATGTGAATTTTTGATTTTACAGATTCACCGATGTCCTTGCTACAATTTGTTGGAATATCCTTTGATTCATTTTTCGATATATTGATTCTAATTCATCCATGTAGTCTTTGAATGCAGAGACAAATGGAGAAGCTGTCACCGAAAAAGAGTATTTCGTATAAAGTTAAGGATTACGAAAGATTTGCTACAATTTTCCATGAGTTCTATAATGAATATTTCAAGTTATATTTATGTCATGCCTAAGTACGCGGGGAAGCGAAGGACGATTCTGTCGTGTTTTATGCTTCGTAAATAAAAAATGAAACGTGATTCATCGCTTCTTACCTTCTCTCAAATATATAAGCGTTTAGAAATGCTTTTTTTCTCATTCTCCGGTTGACTTTAACTGTCTATACTCACATGGCATCCTCAACATCAGGTAGTTCGCGTTGTGTAACATGTGAAAAAGTGGCAGGCACCTTCACGTGCCGTGGATGTTCGAAAGACTTTTGTCTACGTCATGCAAGTGATCATCGGCAATCGCTTACCAAACAGATGGACGAAGAAGTTGTTCTATTTCACGATCAACTACAACAAAGTTTCAATGAATACAGTGCAAAACCCAATCTTCATCCTCTTGTAAAACAAATCGACGAGTGGGAAAAACAATCAGTCGATAAAATTTATCTGGTTGCCGACGATATTAGAAAAAAACTGATTATTATCATAGGAGAACATGTGGACAGTGTTAAAAAGTCATTAGCTCCACTCACCCAGCAAGTAACCAAAGCTCGTTATGATGACGAATTCTTCGAGAACGATATCAATAATTGGAAAAAGAGACTCAGCGACCTCAAACAGGAATTGAACACACCGCAAACGATCAGAATTCAACAAGATGATAATGTAACACCACTTATATCCAAGATTTCACTCATGGAAGAATCATCATATTTTGAAGTATTTGACAAACTAGTGGGAGAAATCCATATTGAAGACAATGGTCGAGTTATAACTCATGGTCAGTCAGTGGGCCATGCGGTAGCTCGTGGTAAAGGTGAATATTCCTCTAGACAACACCGATTTCGGTTTCGAATTGAACGGTTAGGAAAGCAGAAATGGATTCTTTTCGCAATAATATCAAAAAGTGTTCCAGTTGCTATAGAAAATCTATACGGTGGTCCGAAATCTTGTGGCTGGGGTGGAAACAACAGCGTTTTTCTTAATGGCAACTATCAACCTGGTTTGAACGATTATCAAACTGATATAGAAGTGAATGACATCTTAGAATTATTTATCGATTGTGATCGACGAAAGATTCGGATGACAAACGAACGAACTCAGAATACGCACGAACTTGACATTGACATAATTAAATGTCCCTTTCCATGGCAAGTGAGTCTGAATCTTTATGATTCAGACGATCGTGTTCGTATTCTACCATAAACACGTAGCATGTTTCATCGAATATTTTTGCTCGTCGGTCTTGTTTTATCATGTTACTTAATTTCTAACAAATAAACGTATCGCCATCTCGGTGAATAACTTCTTCTTTTCTACGATCAATACTCAGACTTTTTTAGAAATATCATAGATATGGATCGAATAATTCTGAATAATTTCAATAGTTATCGTTCTTTTCTACAATATGAATGAATTCATGGATTTTGATGCATATTATTGTACATTCGCATACTCAAAAATACACTGTAAAACTCCAGCTGATATTGTCTTCAATGACGCTAAACAATTATAATAGTGTTATTTTTTCATCAAAATTTTCAAAAATCATAACCAATAACATTTGATTCAATAGTGATGAGATAAGGATCGATCGTTTTACTCTTCTGATGAAAATGTTCGGGACGAATATAGACAATACTTTTTATTCCAATATGTTCTATTCAAAAACGATAGACTTTAATAGTTGCTACGCTTTATTATTTTCTTTTCGGAACCTTTCTGTTAATAGGATATTGAGATCAATTTTCAAAGCAGCACTTTTGTACCATGTAATAGTAATTAGAATTTTCGGAAACTTCTCAAATAAAGTAAAAATATCGTAAAAGTGAATGTTTCAGATCTTGGATACGAGCAAATACAAGGACATGAAACTTTCAAAATGAACTATTCTCACAAAGGTCTGTCTCGATGTCAAGTTTCAAGTTGAAATTCAAAAAGCAATTTTTCTGTAGCATGGCATTCATTTTAAAAACTAATGTAAAACTGCAGTCTCTCCGTAGCAATAAGAAGATAATGGTATGAACTTATTTCGACCTATATAATATACATAGGTTCGATTCAAAAGCAATTTTTAATTGGAGAAGTTCCTTCGTGAGGCTTTTTCAGCTCACTAATAACTGTAATGCTTGTAAACAGTACATTCAAGAGAGAACGTCAGAAGAGATTTGACCTAGGCTTTTGATTTATCTGAATGGTTACAATGAATAGAAGAGAAGATCACTTGGCACATATAAGACAAAAAACTTTTGTCTGAATCCGAATGCGTTATAATAAATACAGTGAACATCAAAATAAGGAAATAACCATAAGAATCTATTTATTGGTATCAAACTGTCTTCTATGTATTAGATCGGACTCAAACTGCAGAGCTAATTTGTAAAATATCTGATGATACAAATGGAGAAGTTATTTCAACAGTTGTTTATTCATTTGCCATAACTTTAATGAAAATCATTTTGTAAAAATAAAATATGTTTCGTATGCTTCAGATGGTATTTATTGTGCCGAAAGATATACTGATGCTAATATGGTTGAAATGCAGAATTAACTAATGGTGCTTGTAGCCATATATGTAAAATTTTAGGTACTAATCAAGTTGCATGCACTTGTCCAAATGGACAACAATTAAAATTTTCTGTCGATCAACTGAATATCGATGTTTAGGTGGTGAATGTATTCCATATATCGAGCGATATGATCGGAAAACTGGTAAACAAAAAAAAAAACAGAAGCTATGCGCATAATTTTTGTCGGATTAAAATGTGAAAGACGATGTAGCTGCTATTGATAATCACAAGATGCAGAGGTTTATTCTGTTTATATGGCAACGCGTTTCTTTACCGTTGCTTTGTTTAATCCTTCAGAAATATAATAAGAAATTAATTCGTAAATTATTAAGAGAAGTCATTGATATGAGGTCTCTCATCGTATATCAATAATATCTGTCATAGTCTCTGACCAATTTTTTCAAGAGAGAACCAGTGAATTCTATATTTCCGAGATCGTCCTTCTAAAACACTCATAGAGCCAAGGGTATCACCATCGTATCATATAGTTGAATCTATAGCATCTCGTCTGTCACCTTCTATTCATTTAATGATTAGATTGTTGAATAGGTTCAAGTCAATCAGATGACAGTAGTCTTTTTATCTTCTAAAAGCCAACAGAATGTCTGTTGATGAATCTTTTTTTTGCCGTCAAGTTCGACTCAAGAACGAGAGTTGCAGAGTGAACGAGAAATAATGTCGAAGACTCATTCCATGAAACTGAGATTTTCCACGCAGTGAAAAAGAAATTTTATCATCACATGAATCACAGTCACTGTAATCAAAGAAGACCAACTTGAACTTTTTTAAATTTAACTCCTATAAATGAACTAGTCTATATCATCGCAGCTCTTTTCGTTTTCTTCAAACCAATATTAATGTCAAGTCTAGATTGTAGAGAGAAGATGATGGGCCTGATTAAACGCTAGATTAATGGTCTTTTTTTTATATTATGATATACAAGAAGATCATCGGATAATTTGAGACTGATTTTTTTCGAAGCAGAACATTTTGCTGTGGTTTTTGATGCTTTGGACACGGTGATGGCTTGTACAACTGACAAAACAATGCCAAACAAAAAAACGATGAGTTTCGTTTTTCCGAAATTGCCTGAACTCTGATTGGATATCGAATGGTGTGGGTATGGATCTTGGATATTTGTTTACTGGATCCCACACCCACATTACTCACGCTCTACCTATACCCTCACCCACCTACACACCCACACCCATCCTGTTTAAAGATAGTTCTATTCCAAGATTAAAAGTTAAAGAATCATTAGCTATTATGGCTTTGAAACCTGATCTTAATGCGCAACTATGTGTTCAACTCCATTAATTATCTTCCCTGAAGGTATAATGAATAAAAAGAAAGTCAAGTTCAAATTTAAACAGAATATCGTAGACTCTTCCACATTATATGACTCATCAGATATTTAAGTACAAGCAAATAGTATATATAATACGTACATTTACTTTTCTTTCCTTTGATTCTATCTGTAAATGTTTAACACGTTCTCTTGAAAATGATGACTAAAGTCATCGAAAGCTCGAATTACTTTTATTATGTTGTTATTGTAATCGTTATTTTTTTTATCTAATAAAAGAAAAAAAATGTTCTTAGCTGCTGTGAAATCAGTGTTATATATTTTCAAAGGTTGCTTGCTAACAAATATGATAATACATTAAAATTAGTGTTTCAGTGTATACTATTGAAGAGAAAGCATTTCTAAGAAAATACTTTTTGTTGTAAAAAGTTCATCAGTTTTATCTTAGTATACAAGACATTGATCAGAGTTTTAATTTTTGATTATTTTTATGTGGATTCGAAAAGCCGTCATCCGAACACCGTCAAACCCGAATTTTTACTTCATTTGGATGTTTTAGAGTAAAGTTTGACACTAATGTTTCAATAGGTTTATATCGATATCATCAATGCGCGCCAGTAAGCGAGAATTTGTTAGAATAAGCAACGATTTGTTCACTTCTGTAACCAATCGACATTGAAGGAATATTGTATGGACAAAAATCCAGTTGTTGATCTGATTTTTTTTAAATAAATTTAGATTCAAAAATGAAAAAACGACACAAATCTAAAGCAGCTCAATTGGCAGCAGAACGTGATGTTGAACTTTATGTCCGTTTGTTAGTTTTAACAATGAAATTTGTCCCTTTTCTTTTTTTATCATACTTTATTCTTAATATAATTCTAGAGAAATTGAAGATCAAGTTATTGCTGAAGAATACGTTCTAAGAAATGCAATTGATCGAGCAATTAATACACTTTTCGGCGAGGTTTTTAACTTAGAATTTTTTTGATTTTACATAAAAATTTGTATGTATTAGATTGGAAGTCAATTGATTCATGTAGAAATTGTTTCATTCAGATATGGTACAGCTATGATACGTACTAAAGCCAAGTAAATTAATTTATATAGTTTGATTTCTAACAAAGAATAAACTAATTTTAGGATGTTAAATCAAGTTCGTTCTGCTTTAGCATTTTATGGAATACATGATAAACGTGAATGTGCTTTTCGTATTGATACTAAATCAGAAGAAGATAATAAAAATGATAATGATGATGATGATGAAGAAGAAGAAAAATCGCTTACGATGCCAATGGACTAAAATTATTTCCATTATTTTTTAGATAATTAAAATAAATGTGGAAACATTACAAATTTGATCCTCATTCAATTAATTTATCATGCCATACAGATGAAACGTTCAATAATGTAATATATTTATTTTTATTAAAATCAAAAGAAATCAATCATAAGATTATTTTGTTTTTATCAAATTATAGTTTGATATATTGTTACATTCCGAATGGGATCGTGCTCTTGCACAAGGTTATTTTTCTTATAAAATGGATCATCATATAAAAAAACGAATACTTGACGGTGATCTTAATTATGTAGTCGAAGTAAGTTATTTTTTATTTATTTCATAGAAGATGATATCAACATCATTATGTTAATTGATACATATAGTTAAATCACAGTCGATTTGAAAAGCGTCGAATGCCAGATCCATTTGAATATGTCAGTACATCATTTGATAGAAGCAAATTTAATTTCAATAAAATTAAAGATGAAGAAGTAAATAATAAAAAAAAAAATATTCTTTTTTTTTCTATCAAGAATAATCTATTTATAGATTCTTTTTTCTTTAGATGATGAACAACAAACTGATAAACATTTAGTAATTATTAATAATTCACCTATTCGTTTGTATCAGGTATTACTTGTACCAAATCGTCAACTTGAACAACCACAAGTAATAAAAACTACATATTAACAAGAGAACTTCTCTAAATAATAACATTCACACTATTCTCGTTATGATTTGTCTTTATGCAACGTTTTAAGTCAAAATTCGAAACTCAATTGTTTCCGAGATTTCTAAGGACAGACTATGATATTCATTTAAAAACTCGTAAAATTAGATTATATCCGGAGCAATAAGTTGAAGACCTGAACTCTTTTCAATGTAAAAGAAGATCTAGGTCGCACTCATATCTTACATCCTTACTTCGTAAGAGAAAAGAATCAATGAATTTTATTTATAAATATATTTAGATTTTAACGGTTGATTGTCTTTTATTTGGACTTCGTTTTGTTACTTCAAGTGCCTATCCATTTATCTATATTGGTTTTAATTCCCTTTGTGGATATGCATCAGTTAATCATGTAAATAAAATATTATTCTTATTGAAATATACTTAAAAACAAAACAATGATTCAATTTAATTTAGCTTCATCTTCATGGAATCTATATGCCTAATCGTTTATTTACTCAAACAATTGTTAGTTTTATTCGTATGTTTTTTTTTTGATAAATTTTTTATTTTCTCTTTAGAAATGTTCTCCGTTTCATATTAAATCAAATTGTTATCTTTTCGATTTATTTGATGTACAAGGATTTGCTTTCGAGGTAAAACATGCTGATGAATTTGATAGAATTGCTCGGTAATACTTTGAAAAATTATATTAAAAAAAGAAAAGGATAAAATATGATAATATCTTTAGACATATTCATACAGTAACAAATTATCTTGTTTCATCTGACATTGCACATAATATGGCGATAATGAAAGGTGATTCATTTTCATCATCATCATTAGAACCAGTTATACGTATATTTGTTTGGTTTCGTCAATCGAATAAAGGTTCATATTTATAAATAGATGTAATAGTTTTCAAATATAATTTTAATATAGGAGCGAAAACATTTAATCAATGGAATATTGGTTGTCTAGAACTTTCAGGTTATACGTTTCTTCAATGTAAGTAAAAAAAAAATTCATTATTTTTTTTTTTTTTAATAAATAAAAGTAAATTCGATTTAGATGAAGAAGTATTTAATGATGCAACTGAATTGAAATTACGTCAATCTATCAATGAAATAGCTTTATCATCAGAAGAACAAGAGAAGATAAAAGAGGATGTAAAAAAATTATTAGATCACTAGAAAAAAAAAAAGAACCGCATTTTTTCATTAACTCAATTATTGCAGCGAATCTACATTTGTGATATTATGAATGATTAAAGAGAAATTTTTTGAAAAAAATCTCTTTAGAACTAATACATTCTTTAACTTAATCTCATTTATAGTGTTAAAACAAGAAAAGAATTGATGACATGTGATGACTAAATAAAATATGTATTGAAATTAGATATCAAATAACTTTAAAATCTGTTTTTTTTTGTCTTATAGATATGTCTTTATCATTTATTTTTCGTCGTGTAGCATTGTTACAACAATCTCATGTTCATTCATTTTCTACTTCAGCTATACTTTTGAAAGGTAAAAATACAGGTGGTGGTCAACCAAAAAAAGCATCAAAACATCTTTTATCTGATGCTGATTTATCTGCATCATCCCATGATTGGCCATCATTAAAATCACAATATGATAAATTACTTGTTGAACTTCATGAACTTTATTCAAAACAAATACAATTACGAACATCACCATTAGCATTTGAAGAATTATCAATTATACTTCCACCAAATAATAAAGCACATCAATTAAAAGAATTAACACAAATAATTCAAAAATCACCACAAATGTTTATGATTGATATGGCACGTCATGCACAATATATACCAAATGTTCTTGAAGCAATACATAAATCTGGTCTTAATGTTAATCCACAACAAGATGGTACAACACTTTATTTACCAACACCAAAAGTAACACGTGAACATCGTGAAGAATTAGCAAAAAATGCAAAAAAATTAGCTGATCAAATTATTGTTAAAATGCGTGAAGCTTATTCAAAAGCACATCGAAATTTGAAAAAACAAGAAAAAACTTTAAGTCGTGATTTAGTTGCTGATTTAGATGCTAATTTAAAACATCGTCTTGATGGTTATATTGCACAAGTTGAAAAAATTCGTACAGAAAAACAAAAAGAATTATTAGATTCAACTTTTTAAAATTTTGATTAATAAAAAGTTTTCATTGAATACAGAATTTTTCAAATTCTAGGATAAGAAAAAAACAGTCTATAGTAAAATAGTTATCTATTTTGTTTGTACAATAAAACTATTGAAAGATATTACTATTGATATGAAACAAGGTTCGACATAGGCCGTTCGAACTAAGAAGATTTTTCTCATGGATAACCATAATAATTCCTTAAATTGATAATTACTTTAAGAATGTGATTGAACCGAAGCTAATCGACATTTATTAGATGGTGTCACAGTCACAGTAGGATTTTCAAACTTTTATTTTATATGAACAAGTATACTAGTTAGTTTCTTCTACAAACAATAAAAAAGTAAGTTTTCGCTAAGTACACGTTTGTTTGTTGCTGGTAACACTGCAATGAAATGCGATGTGTTGATGCCTAATATGATAATTGTGAATATACACATGAATGCTTTTTCTATCACGGCAACATATCACTTCTGTGACCTTGTCTGAAGCACGATAAAATGGCTCAGGTTTTCATTCCTGTGATTTTATATAAGTATGATTCATTCGAAATTCATGTATGATTATCGAACTTCTAATAGCTTCTATATGTTCGACAGTTCCTAAAGAAGAAGATGAACCAACAAACTTCAGATATTCAAAACATTTTTATTTCTATGTATTGACGATTTTCGACTGTATACTACCTTTCTGGATGGCAAAAAAAAAACAAAAGAAAAGTTTTCATCCAGAGATAGGATACATTTCTTATGTATTTACTCAAATAAAAAAACAAGTTTTCCTTTATATATCAAGACTTGTTCTTTTCGACTAAAATGATTGAAAATTGACCATGTGCAGCATTGTTATAGGTCTAGAAACGATGCTCTCAAAATTTTTGGAATAATCAATAATTATTATTATTATTAGAAGAATATTGGATATAAAGAATAATTGCAGCGCGAGTTTCTCTGTTAAGGATTTCAAGGTCCATAGGATTTTGTTCTTTTTTCAAGAAGAACTGCATGTTCTGTCTGAATAAAATATGAACTCAAGATATTTTATGATACCTATAATAGATGATAAGATTTATTATGCTCTTATTTTTAACATCTTTTCATCAAAGTTCAAACAATAAAAAATAATACTGATTCTATGGAGTGTTGTGTGCTTCAAACTTGTTAAAATTTTATTAACACTCTTCACTATAACTATTACTTATTTGGATAAAATTTCATGGCCTTGAAGAGTTCTTACTATCTTCACTTCAAATTCATACTCAACACAATTTTTTATAATTTTTGATTTCAAGAAAATTAATGCATAGAGAGAAAAATTCAATGAGTTTTACTGAACTTTAACAATCACTGAATTCACTTGAGTCCACTAGAGTCTAAAAAAATAGCGGCTTATACCAGACTATGAAAAGGTTTTCAATGAGTGTGAGCAATCTAAGAAAACGAAGTAAACTCATTAGAAACTAAGAATTCATAGATAGACATCCAGTCGAATCTCGATAAATATAAATCCAATACCGTATTGATATTCTTATGTCCTTATCAAAACCAAGTCATGAAAATGAGACGATTTTTTCGTCACTTACTATTTCATTCTTTATTTTGTTCCTATTGTTGACATAGCACGTCTTATCTTTTCTATTTTCAAATGTCACATGTCGCATACACTTACATATGGCATACAATGTTCTGAAGCATATCAAAACATGTCATTTCATCCTATATCAAAAGATACTTTTTACACAAATATTTATTTTCATGAGATACGATAAATAGGAGAATCCCGAGTAGGGTTGATCCCCAATCTGGAAAAGTTTTCGTTTTTCTTCAGTCGAGTTCAAGTGTTTGTTTTTTGTATTTTGTTGCTCATAAATTCCGAAAAAAAAATACTCAGACTTGTTCCTGCTAATTCGATTAACTTGTGTCACAATCTTCCAATGGGGTCTCCCCCTAATTCCAGCGGTCTTGAAACATTCCTGCCCATAGAAAGGTTTTTCTTATCGATTTTATGTAAGGTAGATTGACATGCCTACGACGAAGGATAAATCTTTTTATTTATCGTATGTTCTATTTGTCAAACATCATCGACGGGACAATAAATATTGTTTAAAGCAAAAACATGCCGTAATCCATCGTTATAAAAATAGTTGTCGTTCGTCTTTCAAACAAGTAATTGGCTTTATTTTATCTTTATACGAACATAATCATCAATCATTACCATTTCTTTTTTGTTTTTTTTTCCTGTTAGAACAAAGAAAAAACAAGTAGTTTTCAAAAATTAAAATATGTCATCAATTATTTCGGATGTTGAACTTAAGTCTCATATTGATCAAACAATTATTGAAAATGATATTGCTACTGGAAGCATACCAACGAAGAAACTTCGTTTTCTTACTTATAAAAATTTAATTGTACTTTGTGTGGCTTTTCTTCTTCAATTTACTGCATTTAGTTCAATGGGTAATTTACAAAGTTCATTAAATACTGAAGCTAATGTTGGTGTTAATTCTTTATCAATTATTTATGCTTTTCTTATTTTTTCATCAATTTTTTTACCACATCCATTAATTGCTTTATTCGGTCTTAAATGGACACTTGTCTTATGTCAAATTCCGTATTTATTTTAATTTAAATTAAATGATTGTGAAATTATAACTATATGTTTTATTTTAGTTATCTTTTATATGTTGCAGCTAATTATTACCCGAAAGCATATCTTATGTATCCAGGTATTTGATGATTTAATCTTTTTCTTTTTTTGTTATGAATAATCCTTTGTTTTATTTTATTAAGCTGCTGCTCTTGTTGGATTGGGTGCTGCACCATTATGGACATCGAAATGTAGTTATTTAACTGATACAGGTGCAATATATGCTGAAAGAAAACATGTTCATAAAGATGTTATTGTTAATCGATTTTTTGGTATTTTCTTTATGTTTTTTCAATCAGGTTTGATTTTAGTATTTATTATTAAAGATAATTATTTGATTTTTTCTTTTTTGTTTTTGATGTATATAGCTCAAGTTTGGGGAAATTTAATATCATATCTTGTACTTAAACCAATAGAAAAACCAGCGAATGATACATTGTATAATGGAACAGGAAAATATGATAAATGTGGAGCTGATTTTAGTGAACAAGAATATAAAGGTGCCGAAGTTGTTAATCAAATTGATCGAAAAACAGTATGAATTAATAATTTTCTTTTTTTTTTTTCTCATAATTTTTCTTTCTCATAATAGATTAATATTCTTTGCATTGTTTATATTTGTATATGTGTTTGTTCAATTTTAACTGTTATTATATTGCTTGATCAACGACGAAAATCATCACGAAGTAAATATGTTTTACTAAAAACAGAACAACCTTCAATTCATTATTATAATTAGATAAAATTTCAATTATGCTTCGTGATTCAGTTAAACTTCTTATTTCAACAGTTAAACATCTTCGAAATGTAAATCAATTACTTCTTATACCATTAACTATTTGGTCAGGTTTAGAACAATCATTTCTTGGAGCACAATTTACAAAAGTATTGAAAAAAAGAAAAAAACATCAGAAGATTCTAATTGAATTATTTCATTGAAATTTTTGTTTTTCTATGATAGGGTTTTGTTTCTTGTACACTCAATGCAAAATATGTTGGTCTTATTTTAATTGCTTCTGGTGTTTGTGATTCAATTGGTAGTTTTAGTTTTGGTCAATTAGTAAAATATGTTGGTCGTTGGCCATGTTTTCTTATTGCTGCATTAATAAATTATTCTTTAATTATTACAATGTTTATATGGAAACCATCAGAAGATCAAATAGCTGTTCTATTTGTTTTAGCTGGCCTATGGGGTTTAGCTGATGCTGTATGGCAAACACAAATTAATGCATTTTATGGTGTTTTATTTGTTAATAATGATGAAGCTGCTTTTTCAAATTATCGTTTATGGGAATCAATTGGATTTGTTTTATTTTATATTATAACACCATATATTCGTATACGAATAGCATTAATTATTCTTTTAATAGTTTTAACATTAGGTATGACTGGTTATGGTTTAACAGAATATCTTTGGAAAATAAAAGCAAAAAAGAAAGTTCAAGCTATATCATCATAAATGAATAATAATAAAACTTTTATTTTTATTTATTATATAAATATAACAGAATAATTTAACTATCTTTACCAATTAATTCATTGAGATGTTTTATATTTTGTTGTCTATATATATCATAAAATAAAAAAATATAGATATAAGTATTATATATATAAATATGTATGTAGATAGAAAAAATTTCTTTTACTTCATTAAATTAACTAATTGACGATTAAGTTTATTGACTAGTGGTGGACCAGAATAAGTTAAACTTGTATAAACTAAAATCAAGAACAAACAAATAAAAAAGAAGACAGTTCATTACAAATATAGATGATATATCTTGACAATTGTAATGCATATAACTATACATGAATAAATTAATTTCCAATTTCAAACAAAGATTTAGACAAGACAATAATATTTTCAAGTGTGAAATATTGTTAATTAAATCTATCTAATGTTATATTGATTTTTAGTTCTCTCGAATCTATGTTCAACTTATGAATAATAAGAAATTTATTTTCATTTTTGTTTTTAGCTTTCGACGGTGATGATTAAAATTTTGCTATGTTTATTCAAATTACTATGTCAAATATGTCTCTTCATTTCAGATCGATTGGTGCTATCTCTGGTATTGGTGGTTGAAATTTTCATGAAATAATTATTCTAATAGCTGTTTATGCGGCTAAAGCGTTGGCAATTGATATAGCTTTAAGATTTTTCGGCTATTGGTAGCAATTTAGATGAACAGCTAATCTTTTTAATAACATATTTTTCTCCTACTGATTGAGTTTGTCATTAGACTCTAGTTCTTACAAACCAACTAAATTTATTTTCATTGGAGTAAAGTTATCATTTATAAATGACAATAGACATAATACACTAATATTGTTTAACACTCCTTCTATTAATCTATACATATCATTGTACATTTCTTCTCAATAAAAATCTGATAATTTACCTTGTACGAGACTTGCACCAGCTTTCATTCGTTCGATAACATCTTCTGCTGTTTCAATACCACCAACACCGATCAAAGGAATTTGACCTAAGAAATATATTTTAATTTTAAAATTATTGAACAAAAATAAAAAAATAAAAAGAAGACCTTGAGTATAAAGTCGAAATAAACGAAGAGTTTCAAGTGCTTTTTCTTTTAATGGTCTACCACTTAATCCACCAGTTTCATTTCGATGTTCACTTTTTAATGTATCCATTCTTGCTATTGTTGTATTAGATATAATTAAACCATCAATACGTGTATTCGGTTGACGAATAATATGTGAAATTGATTTTATTTCATTTTCATTTAAATCAGGTGCAATTTTAAGTAGAATTAATGGTGTTTTTATTGTTTGATCTCGTTCATTTTTACATGAGATTTTATTACAAACGTTACGAATAGACGTAAGAAGATTTTTTAATTCATTTTCATGTTGTAATGCTCTTAAACCGGGTGTATTTGGACTTGAAATATTAATAACAAGATAATCAGCAAGACATCCAAATTGTTCAATACCTAATGTATAATCTTGTTCAACATCTGTTGTTGTATTTTTATTCCGTCCAATATTAACACCAATTAATATATCTAGATTTAAAATAATTGGATGTTAAAATGACTAAAGAACGAGATAATGAAAGCAACAAAAAAAGAGATTAATCCATAGTAGATACAACCTTGTATTTCGCCTACACACAAAAATTCGGTCAATATTTTATTCCTTATCGCTCATAGTCTTGTTACTTTTATGCTTACACTCGATTAATTCATTCGTGCTAGTATGTTCATCATCAGACAATAGACAAGCAGTAGTATGGCCGACTTAATCTTCGTTCAAATTTTCTATACGGTATATGTGCATAAGTATTAACTAAGTCGCATCATTCATTCATTGGTATATCTTTCAATTGAATATCGATTGAGAGTTTCTTTCTTTTCTTTTTTGTTTCCTATATTGTATACAATGTCGAAATTACTACATATAGAATCCTTCGTTTAGTGTTGAAGTCACATCCACACATGATCGGATTCCTTCTTTATTTCTCTTGTCTCCGTTTCTTTTTTTCCTTTTTTTTTCTTATTCAACAAACATATGCATACACATTCAATGGTCACTTTCTTTTTTTCTCGTCTTCATTCTTCTAATCAACATATGTCCGTCTGTCTAATCTTCTTTGTCTTGTATGGGTCCGCATAGACAAGGTTCACACACACACACACGTATGTATACATTTATATATTCAAAGAGTCTATTGACAAAATACATCTAACGATGTCATCGTTGTTACATTTAGTTGTACCAAATCGAATTTCATCTTATTCTAATAACGACATGTCATCATCAAGTGCTTATTCATTACAATTACCTTATTTAGGTACAATACCATTAGGAAAATCACCACCAAATTTAGCATCATTTCAAAAACCATTACGTGAATTATATATACCTTATTATCGTCAACGACGTGAACGTCATCAAGATGAACGTCGAATAATTATATCAGATCGTGATATATTAATATTTGAACCTGATGCGGCATCAAAAGGAAAACGGTCATTAATTTATTCAACTTTAGAATCAATTGTTGATATACAAGCATTAGAATTATATCTTATGTTTCATCATACAGACAATCATCATCATAAACGTATACGTGCTGCTTTTTTACCTATTGGTAAGTTCACATATAGCAGCTACTCAAGTATCATTCGCTCCTTTTTTTTTCATAATTTGTTACAACAGCTGGTAATAAGTGATGTTAATTAACCTTTAAAAGAAAAAAGAAACCATCTGATACAAATATCTTTTTTTTGTTCTTTTTGTTTCACTTAGTCGGAAGTTCTCTGTTGCCTTTTTAAATACCATTATTATTCATATAGATTGTCAATAGAGAACGAGCAAGATTGACCGACAGTAGACTAGTCATGTTCATTAAATTTACTATTTATTCACGGAAGAAGGATACATTGTATTTATTTATCGGTCAGACAATTTAACCGATCGTTGTTATTATATAATGCGAATAAAGATGATTATAAATAAATAAATAAATAAACATATGTATCATTCATTTGTAATTCAATCTTTTATTACTAAATTACTATAATTATATATTGAAAATTTTTTTTTCTTGTTCTTAGGTTGTGAACATCAAGAACGTTTTCGTTCTCTTTATGCAACAATTGATAAATCACAATATAATCTTCTTTCAACTCCATCATCATCATCATCATCATCATCTTATCATCCACCACTTTTATTATTTATTATGAAAAAAACAGGTACAAGTGGTACATGTTCTTTACTTGATTGTCATGTATTTGCTGTACGACGTGAATCAATTGCATTTGATTTATGTGATATGATACGAAAATTAATCCTTAAACGAACAATGAGTCCTATATTACCAACACCACCATCCCCAGCACCACTACCACCACATTCAGGAACAACAACATTATTACGTATACGTGATAATACTACAGAAGCAACAACTATTGAAAGACGAACAAAATATCTTGATCGTGATAGACCTATATCAGCTATGGAACATCGACAGGCTGATATACAAACAACTACAGATAAAAAAGTATGTTTTAATTTACTCAACAAGTTTTATTCAATCATGATAAAAATAGATCATACTGGAATTTTTTAATTATTAACAAATCTACATTAAAATTCAAACGTTTCATATTTTTAATCTAGCAGCTTTGCGGAGACATCATTAACTTGATTAGAGTATGTTCAATGCTTTAAAAAAAAACAATACACATCTTTCCATTGTCATTTACTTTTCATTTTATAGTTATCGACTAGGAACCCTAGAAAACAAAAATCGAGTCAATTCAAGTTCGAATGAATTGATCAATGATTAGCATGAGGAAACTTCACAATCAAAAAGTGAAGCACGTAAAAAAAAGTATCGATAAATGATGTGAAGATTTTTCAATAGATGCCATATTTACGGTCATTTTTTCGCGTGCCTAAAATTCTCTGTGTTGAATGTTCTCGTGTTCATTAGAGCCTGTCATATCCTAAAGTTACGATTCCAGACCTGACGAATTCTAGTACTCATCATTCCAGTTTCTAGTTCGAATATGGTGAATCATATTCATGTAGAACTTTCACAACATTTCCAAGCATTGATTCATTATGAAAACTAAATAATCTTATTTGAATATTGACAAATTATCTTAGAAACAAAAGCCAAATTCAATACCATAGAAATTCTTTCTTTTAGACTAATCGTTCAGTATCCAATGCTAATCTAAATGATGCTGTACATTCAACATCAAATGGTCTTACTAATCCATTATCATCATCTTTATTTCTTATAAATAATACTCAACAATCAAATCCTTATCATGATCCATCTCAAGTATTAAATATAGACAATAATGTTCATTTAATGTCATCTTCATCTTCAACACCAATTCGTACTCTTTCAACAAAGCATCAACAACAACAACAACAACAGCAACCACAATCTCAACAACGTCATTTTATCAAAGCATCATCATCATCATCATCTTTAATGATTGATGAATCAGATGAAGTTGTTAATGATTTAATGAATATTGTTGTTGCTGAAAAACTTAAAACAATTGATACAAATTCTTGTCAAATTCCTATAAAACGTCATGCATCATTTGAACAAACAACATCAACAAATGATAATAATGATAATAATACATTAAATAAAAGACGTTATCAATTTCAATATAATAATAGAAAACGTAGTTTTTTTTTAAATTCTAATCAATTACCAACAATACCTTCAGCTAATAATACACCCGTGATATCACGAACAACAACAAATGTTGAACAACCACAACAACCATCATCTATACTTGATACTTATTTATTACGTCCACAAGTTGTTATTAATCGTTATGGTGATATTGGAAATTATGTTCCAAAATTATTACGTGAAAATTCTACAACAACAACAACATCAACATCAACAAATATGCGTACATCTGATAGTAATGAAAATATATTTTTTCGTGCAACAAATGGACATATATTAAATGGTTTTCTTAATTTGGATTTTTCATCCAAAACACAAACAACAAATAGAAATAATAATAATAATAATAATAATAATAACAATAATAATAATAACAATAACAATTCAAATTATTATTATTCACAATATCGTTCATCACCATGTTTAAATGAAGATAATCATGAACGAAATGTATTATCACTTATTAAACAATTAAGAAAAAATCAAACGTAAAAATATATTAATTTCATTACAAAAACAAAGAAAATTCTTTTTTTTTATTTCTATTTTAGAAAACCAACTTTAAATGAACAAGAATCTTTAATATCAAATCAAACAATAAATATTGAAAATATCAATGATGATCATCATGTACCATCATGTCAAATTCCTCGTGTTACACTTCAAACTCAACAAACAAAGCCAATTCCAGCAGCTATGGGTGGAATTAAAGTACTACCATTTACACCTGCAACATCTTATTCTTCACAACGTCCATTAAAATCTTCTTGTTCATCATCATCATCATCAGCAAAACCAAGACGTGTAGCTTCATTTACAATTGCTGATGCAGAATTACCTATTGATTATAGACAATATTTACGTCATACAGATCAAGGAGTTCATCTTTATGGTGAAGAACAACACCGTCAACAACAACAACCATCAACAACACTCGAACATTCACTTGGATACTTTCCTTAATATTTTGTTTGTTTCTTTGTTTTTCTGTTGATTTATAAAGGAAAAAAAAAACAATACTTACTATCCTTACTGGCATTTGTTCGTTGACGGTAGTCAATAAGACGAGCACGAACTGCTTCATAACCATCATTATTAAATCCATAACTTTAAAAAAAAGTGAAATTTTGGTAAATGAAAAAAAAAATAAGCCAAATGTTTCTTTGTTTTATAACTAACCGATTGATTATAGCTCGATCTTCAGTAAGACGAAATAAGCGAGGTTTTTCATTACCTGATTGTGGTTTAGGTGTAATTGTTCCTTTATGTAAAATGAAAATTAAACATATTTAAACCATAAAAATGAATATACCAATTTCAATAAAACCAAATCCAAATTTACTCAAACCATCAATTGCTTCACCATTCTTATCAAAACCAGCTGCAAGGCCAATTGGATTTTTGAATTCACGATTCCATACAGTTGAATGCTAGAATTGCATGTTAGATTAAATCTTTTATCAGAAGTCGAAAATAATGGAGAAAAAAGAATCGATGAAAATAAGAAATAAAAACAAGCTGTTCCTGACATAAATTCATAACGCTTAGGTTAAGTTTCACATGAATTTTGAAGTTTTTTTTTTTAACTCCTTAACTTTACATCAATTGTATGGTCTATCTTTTTTAATATACAAAAGTCTAAGGATAAATTCTGTCACTACAAAAACAATAGTTATAGAAGCGATATTTCAGAAAGATAACAAGAACCCTTCTTCAATTCATTTTTTTGCCTCCGTTGTTTTCGACTTCATTCATATTTTCAAACCAGAATAGGATCATCAACGGATTTCATTTGAGGAACAAGTCCATGTTTAGCCATTTGAATCGATAAATGATGAATTTTTTCTGGATCAATGTATCGTAATGTTGGCATGAATATTTCGTCATAAAAACGTTCACTACCAAAATAAATATTGGCACCAACAAAGATGAAACCTCCGGCAACACATGCTTTAAGTGCACTACGTAAACGTGCCTGGCAAAAAATAATACCATTGAATAATATTTAATTAACATACAAAAATATATTCTACTAACTGATATAAAAAGTCGTGGTAACATCTTCAAAAAAAGATCTTATGCAAAAGAAAAGAAAAGAATTTCATATTAAAAAAAAAGAAAAAAGAATTTTTTATTTTTTCCCTTAAAAAATATATATATATATAAATATACATAATTATATTTATTTTTCGTATATAATGCAAAATAATATAAACTAGAATTAATTCGAGAGAAGTGGATTTGTTTTATCAGTTCCATTTTCATCTTCACCAAAATAAAAAGCTCCTTGTAGATTAAGTAAACATTCAGCTGCTTTATGTAATTCTTCAAATGTATTTGGATCTATTTTAAATAAATATATAAATATACTATAATAGATACAATAATGATAAAAAGTTTACCAATCAGAGCAAGTTCAGCAGCATCGCCATCAATTAAACGACTATCAGGTATATGTAAATCTTCAAGTAGATTGTTCGATTCTGAAAAAAAGCAGATAGCGAATTCTTTCATAAAAGGAAATATTTCTTATTTTCATTGTTTTGATTGATATCAATCGTACATACCGTCTATTGAAGATGATAATTCAGTTGAACTTTGGCCTAGAAAAAAAAACCGATCAATTATTTGTATAATAATTTATATGTTAAGAAAAACGTACATTCTACTATTTGATTATCCTCATCAATAATTAATACTTGATTTATTAATTTATCTATAAAATATATTTCTTTTATAAAAAATTTTTTATTTTATATGATTTTATAACTTACTCTGTTCTTCAAGTGCTTGTGTATCAATCGTCCAATTTTTTTCATTAGTGTCTTTATTTTGTTGATGTCGATTAGTTTTTAAATGTTTCATTAAATTACTATATGATTTAAATTTTAATTGGCATATATTACAAGTATACGGACGAACATCAGCATGAAGACGTATATGACGACGTATATTACGTATTGACCAACATCGGCAACCACATAAATTACATGTATAACTTAGAAATAACAAAAAATAAAATAAAAAATATTGATCAATTTTATTTCATTACATACCTTATAGAATTATCTTGGTCATGTCGATGTTTCCGAATAATAATTTGATCTTTTGTTATTGATTCTGTTTGTGGAACAGCAGGAGGAGGTGAAGGAACACGAGTCATTGATATTGGTATGCTTAATGGTTTACTTTTTTGTACACAACTTGTAATTTTTCCATTAGTTATTGTTGTACAACGAGCAGATGACATTTTCATAGCTCGTTTTAAATGTGATAAACGTTTGCCATGTTGATATAATGCACTTGAAGAACAAAATTTTCGTTGACATAGATTACACCAAAACTGATTTGAATTCTATCAATAATTAAACAAAAACAAATTCAATTTCTCTTCGTGAAATATAGGTTGTATAGGGTTCGAATATGCTAATAATTGACTGTTACTTTTAGAGTGGCAACTATTAGATCCGACCTCTGTATTAAAAATGTGCAATATTGGTATAAATGCTGAACAGTGAGTCACTAACACAGGATTCACTGGAATATTAATTACAATGAATTCACGTTTCTTGCAACCTTGAATATCTAATTTTACCAAAATGAACGCTTTAGAGAATTCTACATACGTACATGTACCTTATTTGTTGTTATTTGCTGAAAATCAGTTTTTGTTGGTGAAATTGTATTCTGTAAAAATTCTAATTAAACACACATATAGAAACTTTTCTTTAAATGCTTACTATATTCATATTGTATCGAACTGATTGATCATATGTCTTTTTAAAATCTTTTCTGAAGAAAAAGATTTTCATCGTATAAACTAGTTTATTAAGTTGAATATTTTTTTTTCGGATTTTTTTTATTAATGAAAAACAACCTAATAAGTATGAAAGACAAAGAAAAAACAACAACAGTTCGTTTGCCTACACACAAAAAAATCAAACGGGAAAAATCATTCCGAAAAAACAACAAACTAATGATCTATTATTCCCATTTGGCAAGAATATCGGCTTCTTTAAAAATGAAATATTCCTTGTCTTGTATTTCAACTTTAGTACCACCATATTCTGGTAATAAAACTTTATCACCAGCTTGAACACTCACTGGAACATGAGTACCATCCTAGAATTAAAAATAATCATTAAAAGAAAAAATAAACAACAACCAATCGAAATTTTATACCTTTTGTTTAAGACCTTTACCAACAGCAACCACCGTAGCATTAAGAACTTTGCCTAATGCTTTATCTGGTACATGAATTCCACCTTTAGTTACTTTTTCAGCAGCAAAGCGTTCGACAAGAACACGATCAAATAATGGGATAATGCGTTTTAATGCTGATGATGCCTAATTTGTAAAAGAAAAAAAAAACATTTCATATAAAAATGTTGTACTCATATGATTCTCATCGTGCTTACCATTTATGATAAAGTACAAAAATGATTTTTATAATGTTGGAGAACAGTCGAGAATATCTATAATTGATTCGACCCTTTATATTCTTTTTCTCTTTTTCTTTTCTGATTGGAAGTTCATCTCTATCCACTCATAGAAAGGAGGTTTCACATAAATTTGACCAGAAGAATAAACAAATGATTACATCAGTTTTTTTCCTTCCATCCAGGAGTCAAACTCTTTCATCATCTATCATTGATTTTCTCGTTTTTTAATTGTAGTTTTCATTCGTCATACTAATAACAAACAATAATGTATCGTTTTGCTAAAACACTTTCTCGAACAGCAGCAACACCACTTATTCAACATGTTGTACGTCGTTCATTGGCAAAAGAAATTAAATTTGGTGCCGATGCTCGAGCACTTATGTTGCAAGGTGTCGACATTCTTGCTGATGCTGTTGCTATTACTATGGGTCCTAAAGTTAGCTTTATAATTTCTTTTGTTTTTTTAAATAAAATGATAAAAATTTTTTTTTTGTTCCAGGGACGAAATGTCATTCTTGAACAAAGTTGGGGTGCACCAAAAATTACAAAAGATGGTGTTACAGTTGCCAAAGCCATTGAATTAAAAGATAAATTTCAAAATATTGGTGCTAAACTTGTTCAAGATGTTGCAAATAACACGAATGAAGAAGCTGGTATGAATCAATAAATAAATAAATTTAATAATACAATAAATGATTTCTTTTTTCTTTATATAGGTGATGGTACAACAGCTGCAACAATTCTTGCACGAGCTATAGCTAAAGAAGGTTTTGATAAAATTTCGCGTGGTGCAAATCCAATTGAAGTTCGTCGTGGTATTATGCTTGGTGTATCAACAGTTATTAATGAACTTAAACGTATGTCTAAAAATGTAACAACACCAGAAGAAATAGCACAAGTTGCAACAATATCAGCTAATGGTGATGTATCAATTGGTGATATTATATCAAATGCAATGAAAAAAGTTGGTAAAAATGGTGTTATTACTGTCAAAGTAAATTGAAATTATTTTTTGAAATGAAAATGATTTTTGTGTTTGTTTATTTGTTTGTTTTTTTCTAATAGGATGGTAAAACATTATTAGATGAACTTGAAATAATTGAAGGAATGAAATTTGATCGTGGTTATATTTCACCTTATTTTATTAATACAACAAAAGGTGCAAAATGTGAATATCAAGATGCTTTTCTTTTATTAAGTGAAAAAAAATTATCATCTGTACAAGAACTTATTCCAGCTTTGGAATTAGCTAATAGTCAACGTAAACCATTACTTATTATTGCTGAAGATATTGATGGTGAAGCACTTACAACACTTGTTCTTAACAGGTGAATATATATATATATATATATAGAGAGAGAGAGAGAAAATATTATTTAGAATTAGAGTAAACGTCATTAGATGCAATATTTTGAGACTGGAACCAACTGCAGTCTTGAATGGAAGTTCTCCTCGAGCTTGAAAGATTTCCCGTTTTCTTCAGCTGAGTTTCAGCGTTTTATTGCTTCTTTTGCTTAACAGTTCTGAAAAAAATTTTCAACAAGTTCAATGAAACTTATCGATGAACTCGAGATTTTCATAATAGTTTACATTGAATTCGATCGTTATTCTTTATCTCTACGTATGATTGCTGAGTGACTCTGTCCGATAGCATGCTGACTATATTATATTATGTACCTGTTATTAGTCAGTGCATATGAGGAACGCAAGAACTCTGCGTCAGGTTGACTTTTTGTTCAAAGGGATAGCTAGTATTAGTTGTAGGAAAGATATCGAACTATTGAATCTGTTGCTAAGTAGTATTTCCATTCAGTTTCGATGAATTTATAAGTTTTATATGTTTGACTGTATGTTTGTATTTTCATTTATAGACTAAAAGTTGGCCTGCAAGTATGTGCCATAAAGGCACCTGGTTTCGGTGATAACCGTAAAAATACATTACGTGATATAGCTGTTGCTTGTGGTGGTACTGTATTTGGTGATGAAGCCAATTTAAATAAACTTGATGATGTAACTGTAAAAGATTTTGGTCGTGTCGGTGAAGTTATTGTTACAAAAGATGATACATTAATAATGCGTGGTAAAGGTGATCCATCAGCTATAGAACAACGTATAAATGCACTTAACGATGAAATGTCTGAAACAAAGTCTGAATATGAAAAAGAAAAATTACAAGAACGTTTAGCTAAATTATCAAATGGTATTGCTGTATTAAAAGTTGGCGGTGGTAGTGAAGTTGAAGTTAATGAAAAAAAAGATCGTATTACTGATGCATTAAATGCAACACGTGCTGCTGTTGAAGAAGGTATTGTACCCGGTGGTGGCGTTGCTCTTCTACGATGTCTCAAAGTATTAGACGACAATGCTGGCGCCATAAATGAAGATCAAAAAACTGGTAAATAAATAAACTAGAATTGGTTTATTTTAATATATCGAGAATTATGTTTTCGTCTAGGTATTGAAATTGTACGAAAAGCTCTTCGTATGCCATGTTCAACTATTGCTAAAAATGGAGGCAAAGATGGTAGTATCATTGTTGAAAAAGTACTTGCATCTCCCTTTGAAATTGGTTATGATGCACAACGTGATGAATTTGTTGATATGGTTAAAGCTGGTATTATTGATCCAACTAAAGTATGAATATTTATAGGTCTTTCTTTTTTTAATTTTATGGAAAACAATTTTTTTTTCATATTATAGGTCGTTCGATCAGCATTACAAGATGCTAGTGGTGTTGCTTCATTATTAACAACAGCAGAAGTAGTTGTTGTTGAAGCACCTAAACCTGAAAAAGATGCTTCTCCACCTATGGGAGGCAGTATGTATTCATGAAATATTTTATTTTGGTAATTGAAATACATTACTTTTGTTTTTCTATTATATTTTAGTGGGTGGCGGCATGGGTGGCATGGGCGGAATGGGCTTTTAAAAAGAATAAAACAATATTGAAACAACTACATAGGACAGTTTTGTTATATCTGTTTTGTTTTGTTTTTTTATTTTTGTGTCGGCCATCGTGCATCTTCTAGGAAATGAAAAATAAAACGATGAATGTTGATGACAGTGATTGATGTGGAAACATAAATTAATTTGGTTGAAAATAGAAATTTGTCACGAAAATTTTATTCGGAGAAATGATTTTCTTTTTATTTGTTTCTCTGTATTACTGAAGAAAACTAATGAAAATGTACAATGCATTGCATTGGATTTGCTTGAAGAAATCTGATCTGTAGTTTTTATGATTATTTTTTGAGTTCGTTTGACGATTCCACATAGACATATAAGAGCAATCCTGTTGAATAATAATCAGTATGAAGAAAACGTATTATAAATTATTTGATCAAAATATTCAAAGTATAGGCGCAGCAACATTACAGAATAAGAAACAAAGTTTGTAAGAATGACGCATTTTTCCAGAAAAAGTCGTGTTACTAAAGTCAAGACAGTTCGACGACATCATCGACATCGACAGGCAAGTTATTTCAACAGATTTAATGTTGAATTTTTCCATTACAACAGGCAAAATGAAGTACACTTAGTATTTTAGTTACTATTATTTTTTGTTTTTTGATTGACCAATAACAGGTTCTAAGTTATCTTTATGTATTCAGCAAATATTTTAGTGTTGTCATTTGTCATTTATAAAAAAATATGCATCTAGTGTGTCGTTTAACATAAAGATCGAAACAATCAAAGATTAAGAAAATCATTATAGGATGATTTAAATGATCAATAAATGAAATTAGTTTATTGATTGTGTGTGACACTTGCAATTCTTAATGAATTAATGCGTAAATACACATAAAATCATAAACTTTGTATTCAATAATGAATCTTTACATTGAAATCGTTTGATCCCTCCTCTCATTTTTTGTACCAGATACACTACCATCATGGACTTATTGTAATCCAAGCAGTGCAACAGCTGCTGGTGAAGTAAAACAAAATTCCGATAGTTTTCAATGTATGACTTATATACATCAAGGTCAATCAGGAACTGATTTTTATTATGATGGAGCAGTAGGAAATTGTGATTATTTAATTCAAATGTTTACAACAATAGTTAGTCAAACATATACTATTTCATATTGGTTATACAATCGTGGTAGTGCTCAGCCAAGTAGTGCCGATGTCATAATTAATATTTAGAAAAATGTACAATGATTATAGAGAAATTAAAATTTTTTCTCTCCAATAAACTTCATGTTATTCATTTTTCTAAATCTTGATTTTCAATAAATCTATCTTATATTTTACTATTGTTCTGAAGATGTAACATTAATTAAAAAATTCTATAAAACAAGTGTATGACAATTTCGTTCTTTACTATCATAGAAAATTCTTTAATTATATTCTCAAATTCTAAAAAGAAACTAATGAGCTGCTATCTTTATATGTCTATACAAAGCGATCTGTTAGGAACTTCTTAGATACCTACACCATCCTACAACTAGGTTTCAGAGTTCAGTAATGTTCCTAGGCTGCCAGTATTCGCCGAGTCATGCTTTCAGATTAGCCAAATGCATAAATGCAAATAAACATAAAGTTGTTCAATGTATGACATGTGAGATCATGTCTCCAAAAAAAAAATTTATCTCATCGTCAAACAACTCAAGGAACATTGAATCTAAGTAATGCCCATGTATAACTACGCCATCAGTAAAATAGGCAAGTATCATATATAAAAAGACAGATGTCATATATTTTTTTTAATGAGCAAATTCATTGATTATTCGATTACATTAAATTTAAATGTTAAGAACAAAACTATCTATATACATCGACTAAATAAAAACATGTAAAAATAATTTTCGAAGTGTATACGCAATCTACAGACACATTTGTGTCTATCATTCTTCTTCTTGAATAAATTTTCCATGAAATAATCAAAATTACATATAAATAACCAATTTATTTTAGATATTTCTTATTCAATTATCTGATGAACTATTGTTCATTCATAATTATTTGAAATATGCATATTAAAGATATTGGGATATTGATGTTGAGTCTGGGTGTTAATAAGGGTGTAAGTGTTGAGCTTGTTCACACCGCATGCATACCTACATTGCATTCTATGATTTTTTCATACTTAGCAATACATCATAGCCCTATCGATCAGTAATGCGAATCAATAGAAACACTCGATAGACTTGAACTCCAGTTTTTAGAAAAAAAACATCATATTTTATTCGGTTTGCGGGTTTAGAAGAATTTATTTAGCATTCTTAAATTCAATCATAAAAACAATAAACTATAATATATTTTAGAAGTGGACACTTTGCTTAGTCTAATGAGCTATACATAACAAAGTCGGTTCATTACTTCAGATAAGTTCATATATAATTCAAATCAGCGTATGATGTTCTACTGACTCACTTAGGAAACTACTTCAAATATACAGAAAAAAAAGGTATTTGACACCCGAACTATGAAATGCTACTCAGATGAAGGTTCAGAAAAAGTTGTTCTTTTGCTCTCTCTCTCTCTCTCTCTCAAATGTGTCGAATCGGAACTTTAAGTAGCTAGGTAAAATTGGGACATTGATCTCCATATGATTCAAATCACTGCTTACATCATTCGATAGCGAATACTTTTCTCGAACTGCAGTTTTCGCACAAGATTCAGCAGGCAAGATTGTTTTATCTGTCTTAAAAGAGTACTATGTATCAGGCAATAGAGAATCGTGTGTTGTTATATCCACACCGGCACGTATACTCACACTCTGACAAAACGAAGAAGTTTTTTTCATGATAACGATGATAAATGAATCAAATAAATTAATAGAATAATAATTCGAAATAAAAAAAAATTGAGAGCATACGTATCAACTAAAAAAATTGTAATAATTTTGATTTATTAATTCATTTGGCATTCTTTTAAGTAAATTATTTTAACGCCTTTCACTACCATAAATTCATAACAGTCAGAGTTTGTAACTTCAACATTTTAAGTCCCTCATAGGGTTGGACTGACAAGTTTTTTTCAGTTGAAAATATACATATGTATGGATACACTTTCATTGAAGCATAAAGCTCACAAACAACGAGTTTTATAATGTTAAAACGAGAAAAACGGCTCATTTTTTAAAGTAAAACTTAAAATTATATTCTTTCATTTTCTGCTATATAGAATGTCAAGACAGAAGGAAAGAAGTCGAGAAAAAAATTGGAAACTTTTCATAAAAGAATGTTTGATTTCTTAATTATGTATTTTCTTTTGGTTCAAATATAATAAATATGATCTAAAATAATAATTTGAACCATGATAGGAAGAAAATTTGAGATTTCTCAATTTGAATAAACTTGAAAAAAGTCGAATTAAAAGGTCTATTTTATTGTAACTGTCTGTTTTTTTTAATCAATGATATTTTTAATGTCTGTTTTAATTTCACAGAGAAAAAAATGATATGAGATATAAATACATTATAACTAACTTGCAGATAATTTCTATCTAACCAATCATGAACGAAAATAAAATCAACGTAATTATAGAACTGTTATCAAGCAAAATTAATTCCGCTAATAATTGATTCCATATCAGATTTAGAAAAAATTATATTATGTTTCTTTTTATGAAAAATATTTGAATAGATTCTCTATAATTGATATTCCAAAATCAAGTAATCAATATATAATCTAGAAGTACTGCAATATTTATTCTCATTTTTTCGTTTAGGATGCCTGTGCTGAAGATTAAACATCACAATAAGAAAACAATTTTAGAAGCTGAAATTGTGGGCATTTTTACATCTCACTTCAGACTACATGCAGACAAAAATTCATTGAAATCTGTGTTATCAAGTGAGCATATGGTCTGCTTTCGGTTCACCTGTGTCGTACAATGTTTCTCGATATTTATATTAGTCAACCGGAAAAACGTCATATGACCATGAAAAAAAAAGATAATTGAATTTGTAAGAGACAATTGCATGCAACCGATTCCAATTTTTTTGACGATGTGTATAAGCGTGTAAAATAATTTGTTATCTATATGTGTTCATCATCATGTTTTTCTTTCTTTTTCTTCTGATTATTGTTTCTTTATGATCATATCAGATAACTACAAACGTCTTACACCTATTCTCATGATTCTAATTGAATTTCTGTATTGAAGAAGTCAATGGAACAAATAGAATATAATTTTATGTATATGCTAGTGCATTGATTCTTGTTCTTCTTTTCCTTTTCTTTTCTCAAGATACGAGAAAGAGGCTGTAAATCACTTTGATAGACATAATCTGTTATTTGAAGAGAAAGTTAATATGAGGATTTGTATGCAAACAATCTATTTCATTGATTTATATGTTTTTAATTAAACATTGCTGACTTCAATGTTATAACTTTATATTATTACAAAATGTCAATATGAAATCTAATTGATTGCTAATATGATTATCCATGATTGCCATTAATTGCAACGATTAGTGAGTCTAAGGAGCTGTCATCTAGTATACATCTGTATTCCTGGTTGATACTGAAGGTGAAGCAACTGTCTCCTATCTTCTTTTCACTCCCGATGTTATTGATCTTAAATCATCCAGAACATTTTACGTAATTACCTAATTGATCGTGATTCAATAAAATTCGGATCTAGTAGTGAAACTCGTCGAAGTTTTTCCATTACTACCAGCAATAGTCAAAAGAATATATGCCACAATAGCGATTAGTGCTTTGGTACAAAGTTTAATTAGCTCAACTGAACTAACATATACTTATATAGACGAACATGTTCATTTATTCGTTCTTATGAAAAATTGAATCAAAAACAAAAAGCAAAGAAAACTTATCTCTTTTCGTTGCACCCTCTACAGTATTTGGCATTGTATCTCATATACAGACAAATTGATTGTCCTCATCAAAAAGAAGCAAATGAAAATATCATCGTGAAAAACAGAATGACTAAGTGATAATGTCATGCTACATGCTTTTATTGATTTTTTTAAAATCAAAATAAGCTAACAGGTCACTATCTTTATACGTATATATTAAGATAGTTGCCATATATACATATATATATATTTTGTATTATGAACAAACTCATTGAATTTTTCTATTATATTGAGAAAATAATGCTGCAGAAAACGACAAGATTTATACTAATGAGAAGAGAATCTTATATGATAAATAAATAGATTGAGGTCAAACATTTGACTTCTTGAGTAAACCTTCAATTGAAATAATCTTTTGTATTAGAATTAAAATTTCTTGTGACAATTAACTATATAGAAAACAATATGTATTTATTTTCATCTTATTTATTTTATAAGTTTAAAATAAATACCATGAGAAATTCATCCATGCCTCTTAATGATAATTAGCAAAATCAATTTACAATTAGTGTTATCATAAGTTATCAGTGTACTGTATACATGACATACATGTATAGATAAATGGCACATACTCAAGTATTGTCCTTGAGGGCTTGCAGAGCACACCTTCACTTATCTTCTCTGGTACAGAACGTAAGTGATTATTCATTTTTCTATATCATTATTTAACAAAATGTGTAACTTCAGAAAAAGGATGAGATATAAGATAGATTATTGAAAATGAAGATTTAGAAAAATCAATAATACAAAGTTTATTAAATAAACCATATCAGTTTTCTAGATACTAATTATGACATCAGCACTACTAGCTGAACCAGTGCCTTGATTATATAACCAATATGAAATAGTATATGTTTGACTAACTATTGTTGTAAACATTTGAATTAAATAATCACAATTTCCTACTGCTCCATCATAATAAAAATGAGTTCCTGATTGAGCTTGGTAAGTATAACCCATACATTGAAAACTATCGGAATTTTGTTTTACTTCACCAGCAGCTGTTGCACTGCTTGGATTACAATAAGTCCATGATGATAGTGTACCAGTTTCAAAACCATTATTAGCAATCAATTCAGTACTTGGTGTTATTATACTGCGCACGGACACAGCATCAAGTGCAAAACAGCCAGAATCTTCTCGAAAAGCAAATGCAATACGAGTTCGATTTGAAATAGCTGTATAAGTATATGTATATTGTGTATATGGTGCTATATCTGGACAATTACTACAATGATAAAGTAGAGTAACACTTTTCCATCCAGAAGTACATGAGTTGGAAGTAATAGCTTAGAAAAAAAAGAAGGTAAATAGTGCGTTGTTTGTACCGAATGAATACTTACTAACAGTTGCTGCTGTTGTAGTAGTTGTTGTAGTTGTAGTACTTGTTATCGCTATGTATAATGTTATATTAGTTAAGAGTATCCCTCCGCCGCTCGCCTTCTCAAGACCTCTGGGGAACAGCTCATCAAAAAAAACTTTGAAACATTTTTTGAAAACTGAAGGAAAAATTGTTATAAATTCAAAGCTCTCAATTGCTGTCGTGTATGACATACTGAGATCACAATGGTGAATAATAGTTTCGATTTTCGACCCCTGTTTCTTCGTAACACTATGTTCTATCCATCCTGAAAATTTTTGCTACATGTTATAGATCCTGTTTAGGGTGGAAATCTTTTTATTTTCAGTTCTTGTAATAAAAAAGTCAAACTATTGAAGATACCCTGGTAAAGTACATTTTTCTTTAAATAAAACTCTTTTTGTAAGAGCTACCAAATATTAGCAATACAGTATTATTTGACATTAAAAAAAACTTGTCCGTCCCAAACAATGTATAAAAATGTTTCAGTTAGATCAGAAGTACTAGATCGGAGAAATGGGAGCGTTCCTATACTTTTTTTAATGAACAAGTTGATTTAAGAAAAGCCTGAAGGAACGTATAATTTTCGTTAATTTATTTTTTCTCAAAGTTTTCAATGTTTTTTGAACTATTTTTGGATCTCAAAATACATACTATATACTTCAGATTCTACAATTGTCACAAAAGAACTAAACTTTTGGGTCATCAATGGTGGATAGGAGTCCTTAAGTTTCATATAGGTGTAATTGAAAAACTTCATATTGCGTTTGATTATGATTATAATTTTTATCATAAAGGAGTATTTACGTTATATAAATTAATTTTAAGGCAGGAAATTTTATTTGTCTTATATTAGTGTCGAAAGGCCTTAGGAGGAAATAAGTATTAGTGAAGAACAAAAAAACAAATTTAGAGAAGACACTTTTGAACGAATTTTTTATTTTACTAGGGTATTCTACACAACTGATGACTAGACCTAAAAATTTGTTAAGACGAGGATCTCTAGTAATTGACAATATTTAACTCCAAATCAAATGTATAGTTTGGAAGATAAATCTCTCAAAGAAGCTTAACCAATCATATTGTAACACTCTGAATACGACCATTTTTCTATTGAGAACATATGAGGTGTTCCGTAATTAACAGCAGAATACATGAAAGAATTCATTCAAATTCACTCTTCTGTATAGTGCCTAGTATATCTCGGCAGCTTATTTTGAAAGGTAGAGTTAAAATAAATATAGTCGTGAAAAAAATACGTACTCGTTACGGAAGTGGTTGTTCTACTCGTTGTTGTTACGCTAGTACTGGATGTTGATGATGAACTAGTACTGGATGTTGATGATGAGCTGGTCGAAGACGAGCTACTAGTTGATGTGGCTGTTGAACTTGTAGACGATGATGTACTAGTAGTTGAAGTTGTTGTCGTTACTGACGTTGTTGTTGTTGTTGTTGCAGACGTTGTTGTACCTAATGAAAAAGATCATGCAAAGAATTAAATTTTAGTTGTCTGAAAAAGTTGTATACGCACTCGTACTACTGCTGGTAGTCGTTGTTGCTATTCATGAAAAAAAAACAAATACTAAAGACTGAGGAAGAGAAGTCTTCCTACTTGTTGATGTAGTTCTGTTAGCCGTCGTTATAAGGAGTATACCAATCAATGCTGCTAAACCAGCGATAACTAAAGCTAAGAGTAGGCCTGTTAATAAACAACAACATGGTGAACAACATGAACAGCAAAATATCCAAAATCCTCCGCGACGACGTCGCCGTCGTCGTTTCTCATTGTTTTTCTCTTTATCATGATCGATGAGCTTTGTTATGCGAGTATGATTGTCGACTAAAGATGTATCATAAGTTGCATGCGAAATATTGGTGTTTGCATAAAAATTAGGTACTGAATTAGTCATGCTTGTTGATGATTTTTTCAAATCACCGAAGTCAAAACTATTTGATAGCATGATCGTCTTAAAAATATTATGAATTTATCGTATATAAAGCAATTTACTATAATCGAACCTGTTTTTGATCAGCACTACTAAGAGATCTCATATTATTCGATGCAATCTGAAAACAAAAAACTGTTCATATGGAAAAGAAAATATTCTGTATTACATTATCAAATCTATTTGATGGAATCCTTGACTTCTGTATGCTATCATATGCAGGTTTCATATTCAACTGTTCAAAAGAATTGCTTTGAAAACTCGAACCATGCTTATCATTAATACTTGATTGAGATTCCAATCCAGAAACATGTATGTCTGATGTATTAGCAGACAGTCGTTTCTTTGTTCCAAATGGCAAATAAGGTGTTGAAGGTATTGAATCGATATTTTCTACTACAAGATCTGTATTCAATAATTGTGGAGTTCGTATTTGATTTTGTACATAATTATTTATTTTTGATCGTTGCTGTATCTATGAAATGAATGATACACAATAACAAAGTTCAATTCTCATGTATTAAGCATTGATACAAAATTCAAGATTGAAACTCGAAAACTGATGAATGTGAGAATAGGTCAATGAGCTATGGAAATAGTCGATAGATGGACGCAAAATCGGCTTGTTATTGTCTTTTTTGATATATAGTTCTATATAAGAAAGAATAAAGGACAAGAAGAATTGAATGATTTCATGTGTAATAACACATCCATTCAATGCATATTACAGGTCTCATGTATAATCAATGAATTAATTTTGTCTATAGATAATACTAAATGATCTTACAGTGAATTTATTATTATTCGATTGTCTTTCGATTTTTTTAAACGATGCATTAGATTAGTTTTTTTTTTTTTACAAACGATAAATAATAATACAAAAATATTTTGCATGATATTTCTAAAGAAATATCAGTTGAATATAAAGGCATGGCCTAGAATCTGATAGTTGTCAATCAAAATGAAACAATGGTAACCCAAATAGTCAGTGTACTTCGTTGTGCGTTTTGTATTTGAAAAGTTCAACATTAAATTCATTGAAATGACTTACATTTCGACGTCGATGATATCGTGGAATTTTCTTGATTCGAGGTACATGAGTTACTGTCGGACGACGCTGCATTCTTACACACTTTGTTGTTTATTCTGTTATATTGTTGCTTCTACTTTGGATGTTTTGATCAAATAATATGCGATAGGTTTCCTTCATGCTCATTAGTATTCAATACAATCGTCTCTATTTATCTATGTGCTATTTTGAGATGAGATCAGAAAATAATTATAAAAATCATCTATAGGCTTCGTTCATCAAATTCAATGTAATGAATTGTACTTTTTCAACTATCTTTTTACAATACAAAAAAGAAGAACAAACGTTAATTATTTTTTTTTAAATTCTTTTGACTAATTTCTATTTTGTACTATATTAATTTTTTATTCCAAGTTCAATCATTGTTATCAGTATTCATCATTTTATTTCTTTATTTCCGAAGACGTAAACAATGGCCAATATAAAAAAAATCAGATATAACAAAACTGCTCTGTGTGCAGTTATTTCAATATTGTTTTAATTTTTCAAAAACTAGTTTCATCCATGTTTTTCCATCCACTAAAATATAAGAAAAAAAAACCAAAAATGTAAACCAAATAATAAAATACAACATTTCATGACTACATATTGCTTCCCATTGGTAGAGCAATATTTTTTTCATATGTTGATGCTTTAACAACAATAACTTCTGTTGCTGTTAGTAATGAAGCACCATCACTAACATTTTGTAATGCTTATTGTATTTTATTATTTGAATTAAATTATTTTTTTTCTCTTATGTATATTTTAGTGGGTGGTAGCGGTATGGATGGAATGAATTTTTGCCAGAATAAAACAATGTTGAAATAACTACATACTACAGTTTTCTTTTGTTTCTTTTTTATTTTTGTATCGACTATTGTGTACCTCTTAGGCAATGATAAATAAAATGATCATTTCTGATAACGGTGATTGAGTTGGAAAAAATTACTTCAGCAGATAACAGAAATTACACAGCCATGAAAATCTTATTCAAGAAAGAAATGATTCTTTTTTGTTTTTTTTTGTATGACTGAAGAAAACAGATGAAAAAAATACAATCCGTTGTCTTGAATAAGAGAGAAAGATTTATATATGGATTTTATAATTATTTTTTGAGTTCGTTTTGTAATTAGCATTTAGACAGAGACAAAGATCGTCTTATTGAATAATCAGCTGGCACCGAGACTACTCTCATGATGCGAACTCGGCCTTAAAGAACCTTTCTAAATTGGACTCATCATTTATGAGACTCTATAACTTTCCATTTAGTCGAGAACTCAAATTAAGATGCAAAACTTGGTTCCATATTCTACAAACTAGAATGATGAGTTTGTTGCATCAAAAACTCTTTGAAATTTGTAGTATTCTGATACGTAAAGGTTTTCGACTAAGTTTCTCTTTATTTTTGTTGATATCTTTTTTCAATCTTCAATGCGTTCTGATTCTCTGTCAAAAAAGAAACAGAATGCACACATCTCAACAAGATCTTCAATGTGATGCATTCTTTGAAAGCTTCGAAAACAATTGTTCATGCAGGAACATGAGACTCTGTAAAAATATTTGAAAAAAAATCGTACGACTTTCTGATTGTCAGATCATCGCAATCCAACAAAACAATTTTAAGTCATTAGTATCGAGAAACTAAAAATACCTGCAACCGATTTCTTTTACAGTGCCTCGCATTACACAAAAAAAAAAATAAATTACTAACTGTTCATTGATGGATTATTATTAATGCTAGCGATAATTAATCATTCTCAAGATCACCACCTAGTCTCGCTTCATTATATCAGCACCATAAAAACAGCATCCATAAATTATTTAGAATATGCGAATTTCACTTTGGGCGAACAAAACATCATACGGACAATCGGACAAAATTTGTATCATGCAAAGTCGTCAATGTTTTTTATGACATTTTCAAGAGTATCACACAATGCATTGATCTCGAAACAATTGCATCACAAAATATGAACTTTGAATGCGGAATTCGACAAAGAAAACAATTCCACTGATTGCTGTAAGATGCTTTGCATCTTAAAAAGAAAACTCGTGAAGAATCCCAATAATGCTATGCCTCGAACTACATTAATGCAAAACGAAAAAAAAATTGTGAAGAACTACATAAATGCTATACCTTGAACTGCATTAAAAATCTCGACTGATCGCTAAATGGTGCTTCGCAATATATTAATTAAAAAAAAAAGAAAACTCGCGAATGTATGCACTAATGCTATGGTTGGCATTCCATTAAAAAAATTTTAACTGATTGCGATAAGATGCTTCGCACCTTTATAAAGTGCATCAATAATACCTATTGCAAATTACTTGATCAAAACAGCCAAAGTATAGGTAACTATGAGATAAAATAAACGATAAAGTTTGCAAGAATGCAGCATCTTCCGACAGTAAGCCGTGGAATCCAAGTCAAGAAAATTCGACGATATCCTCGACGAGGAAATGTAAGTCTTGTAGAAAGATTTAATGCTTGATTCTTTGAATAAAAAAAAGTGTAATGAAATACATTGGATATTTTAGTTGCAATTGCTCATTTTTGATTGGCAACTAACAAGTTGTATGTTAACTAGTTGTATTCAAAAGATGTTTGATTAGAAATATGATAGACCAAAATCAATTTCAAGGACAAATTGTATAATTGACATATCTTTTTTTTGCTTGTCATTTATTATTTTGTACAAAAAATTAATCTAATGCATCGATTAAAAGATGTCGAAAGACCATCAAAGGTTCATAAATTCATTCTAAGATTATTCAAGCGATCAATAGACGAAATTCGTTCATTGATTGTATATGAGACTGACAGTTTTTCGATGAATTCACGTATTACTTCCACATAAAATCATTCGATTATTTTTGTCCTTGATTTTTTTCTTACTCTGAAACTATATATCAAATAGATAATAACAAGACGACTTTTTATCTATCTATCGACTATTTTCATATTTTATTGATTTATACACGCCACATTCATCACTGTTCAAGTTTCTATCTTAAACTTTGCATCAATTCTTGATATATAAGAATCAAATTTTTGTTATTGTGTATCATTCATTTCATAGATACAGCAACGATCAAAAATAAATAATTATGTACAAAATCAAATACGAACTTCACAATTATTGGATGTAGATCTTGTAGTAGAAAATATCGATTCAATACCTTCAACACCTTATTTGTCATTTGGAACAAAGAAACAACTATCTGATAATGCATCTGTCGTACATGTTTCTGGATTGGAATCTCAATCAAGTATTAGTGATAAGCATGATCTGGATTTGCAAAGCAATTCTTTCAAACAATTGAATATGAAACCTGCATATGTTAGTGCGCGGAAACCAGTGATTCTATCGAATAGATTTGACAATGGACTGTCCATAAAGGACTCTCAGGTAATGGGAAAGGTAGAGACTTTCATCAAAATTGGAGCAGAAGAAAGGCAATGTCAAACTTCTCTGAACATGCAGACACATACTATGAATATATTCCTTCTTTTTACACGAATTTCGTCAAAGTTAGAAAGAGCAGTTGTAAATATGAAATGAGCTAAATAAATTGGTTATAGCAATAAGTGAAGATTTCTTTTACGTTAACAGCTAGTTATTTTCTCGAGTAGTTTTATGAACAATTTTAGATTTTTCAGTAACATTGGTATTGAACTTCATTCTTTGATTTTCTACTCATAAAAATACAATGTATTATTTAATGAGCAGCTATTTAATGTGTTATTTCCTAGAAAGTTAAGTAAAACAACATACAGTATTCAGAAATTTCTTTCCACTCCAGACCTTGTAAAACATTTTTCGCCGATCATTTTGTTAAAGAAATGTTTGAATTTCATTGAATAATGATGATGTCATAGTCGAAATACTAAACACTGTAAAATAGATTAAAATACTATTTTTTCTAATAAATGAGCATAAAAAGTCAATTTACATATTTCTAAATAGCTATATTCTGTAGAAATGTGACGTGGTAGGTTTTGTCGAGGAACGTTTGCTTTACAAAACTTGACAGTCGATTTCTCAGATACATTCGAATAGTACGAATAAATTTCAATAGAACATTATATACGATATTCATAGGAAACATATATGACATTTCCTCTTTTTACAATAAATATCGTACGTAAGATTCTATCGAGCTTTTTATTCATCCTGCTCGAATGTGTCTCAGAAATCGACTGTCGAGTTTTGTAAAGCAAACGTTCCTTTACAAAATCTACTATATCACATTTCTACAGAATATAGCTATTTAGAGATATGCGAATTGACTTTTGATGCTTATTTATTAGAAAAAAAAATAGCATTGTAATCGATTTTACAGTGTTTAGTATTTCGACTACAACATCGTCATTATTCAGTGAAATCTAAGAAGTTTTTTACCAAAATAATCAGCGAAAAAACTTTTACTAAGTCTGATATGGAAGAAAATTTTCTGAATACTTCGTGTTTTTTTGGTTGCTTGCCCATCAACAACTCTAATAAAAAGGAAGTGGTATATTTGAATAAACAGACTCTTTCTAGAAAGGTGTTGCCTGTTTATACTCGACATACAGAAAGGGGAAGAAGGTCGTTGAAGTTGAACAAATGTGAACAGAGAAGTGGAGAGGAGTCTAAAAAATGCGACTTTCACTTGAATATCTTTTAAGAGTGGCCTCCATTGTAATGCACAATATCTTCTCTAAGGTATAAAAATTTTTATGTCTAGATTTCATCAAACAATAAAAGATCTTCCAGTAGTACTCATCGAAAACAGGTTCGACTCTAGTTGTTTGATTTTCATACGATGAATTCATAATATTTTTAAGATAATCATGTCATCAACTGATTTCGATTTCAGCGATTCGGATAGTTTTTCAATAAGTACAACTGATTCAATGCGTAATTATTATACAAGAGTCAATGCTTGGCATACAACTTCGAATACATCTTCGGTCGACCATAACAGGCGTAAATCATACCGAATTGATCACGATAGAGAGGAAAGCAATGAGAAACAACGACGACGCCGTCGTAGACGTGGAGGTTGCTGGATTTTTCATTGTTCATGTTGTTCACCGTGTTGTTGCTTATTAACAAGCATACTCTTAGCATTGCTTTTCACCAGTCTAGCAGCTTTGATTGCAGTACTCATTATGGGGCAGACAAACTGCCCTGCGTCAATAAGTATGAAGAGCTATTCTCTTGAACCTTTTACTTTTGTTGTTTTTTTATTAGTAGCAACAATCACTGAAAGTAGTGATACGAGTGCGTATGCAATCATTGCAAAAAAAAAATTCAATATTTGCATGACTTTTTCTTTAGGTACAACGACGCCAATGACTACAACAACTACTACAACAGCAACTACTACAACGGCAACAACTACAATGACAACAACAACCACTACTACAACACTAACGATAACTACAACGACAACAGCAACCACAACTACAACAGGAACCACAACAACAACAGGAACCACAACAACCACAACTACAACAACCACAACAACTACAACAACCACAACAACAACGACAACAACAACCACAACGACAATGACAACAACAACCACAACTACAACAACCACAACAACAACGACAACAACTACAACAACCGCAACAACAACGACAACAACAACCACAACTACAACGACAACAACAACCACAACGACAACGACAACAACAACCACAACTACAACAACAACTACAACAACAACCACAACTACAACAACCACAACAACAACGACAACAACAACCACAACTACAACAACCACAACTACAACAACCACAACGACAACAACAACCACAACAACAACGACAACAATAACCACAATTACCACAACCACAACAACAACGACAACAATAACCACAATTACCACAACCACAACAACAACGACAACAACAACCACAATTACAACAACCACAACTACAACAACCACAACAACAACGACAACAACGACAACGATAACCACAACTACAACAACCACAACTACAACGACAACAACAACCACAACAACAACGACAACAGCAACCACAACTACAACAACAACAACTACTACAACATTAACGACAACTATAACGACGACAACAACAACAGCCACAACAACAACTACAACAACTACGACCACTACAACGACTCAAACAACCATTACAACCACAACAACGACTAAAACAACCACTACAACAACAACAACTACCACGACAATAACTACAACCACAACAACGACAACGAAAACTACCACGACAACAACTTCATCTAGTAGTACTTCAGCATCCACAATTTCAACAACGACATCAACTAGTACCTTATCGACAGCAAGTACGTAGATTTTCGCAAATATATTTTGAATCTTTAACTTTCAAGATAAATGAACGATATATACGTAGCTGTTACTATACAAAAGAGTGAATTTTAATATATATTGAAGTTTTTTCATTTACTGTGCTTATCAGAAAGACTTATCCTTAAACGTATACATTTGATGTAGAATCAAATATTCAATCGATACACATCTTCATTTTAACAAATTTTGCCGATCTGGTCTGAAGCAATGTAGAATAGTTCAGTAAAATAAAAACTTTTTCCGAAAGTGTCATGTCTTGATACGTTTCTCCAATCACTGATAAATGCTAGTAATCTTGGTATTGACTTCCACTTGCAACGGAGCAACAAAAAAATAAGATAAATAGAATTTGTTACGTTTAAAAAAGACAAAAGTTCTTATTGAAATGTACAGACAACATCTCAGATACTTATAATATTTCGGTATTGACATATTATATTGTCTAATTCGACAATCATATTCCATATTATAAATAATTGATATAGTTTAAAGAAACGATTATAATGAAAGTCGAACATAGTGTGAAGTTTTTGCAATAAGATCTGTATGAAATATAACTTATATATCATTATATTTAGCTATAACAACTAACTCCTCACTTCCATAATAAAAGTCTCCTTGATATCACGATGTATCGGACGTAATAAAAGACCTCCTCTTAAACAAATGATGATTCAAAAAAGTTCAAACTTTAATTAGTATATTTACATCAAGATATGCCTAGTTTTCTAAGTGTCGAGTTAAGAAACTTAAAAGACTGAGATAAGTATTATTTCTGAACGATGCACAATAGAAGACATCAGTGAAAACTTTGTACATTTCGAAATAATAGAAAAACTAGGGTCTTTTATAGATGAGAGAGTGCTTTTACTACAATTGAAACAACTATCAGTAACTAATAATCGTGTACAAACAACATTCTATTTAACTTTCTTTTTCTAAGCAATTACTTCAAATGCATGTACTTCTGGATGGAAAAGTGTTACTATACTTTATCATTGTAATAATTGTCCAGACATAGCACCATATACACAATATACATATACATATACAGCTATTTCAAATCGAACTCGTATTGCATTTGCTTTTCGAGAAGATACTGGCTGTTTTGCACTTGATACTGTGTCTGTACGAAGTACAGCAGCACCGACTGTGGAATTGATTGTAAATAATGGTTTTGAAACTGGTACACTATCATCATGGACTTATTGTAATCCAAGCAGTGCAACAGCTGCTGGTGAAGTAATACAAAATTCCGATAGTTTTCAATGTATGGGTTATACTTACCAAGCTCAATCAGGAACTCATTTTTATTATGATGGAGCCGTAGGAAATTGTGATTATTTAATTCAAATGTTTACAACAATAGTTGGTCAAACATATACTATTTCATATTGGTTATATAATCGAGGCACTGGTTCAGCTAGTAGTGCTGATGTCATAATTAGTATCTAGAAAACTGATATGGTTTATTTCATAAATTTTGTATTATTGATTTTTCTAAATCTTCTTTTTTCAATAAACGTATCTTATAATTCATTATTTTTTTGAAGATACATAATAATTAAATAATGGTTTAGAAAAAATTTACGGCTGTTTCAGTTCTTTAATAGACAATGTCACAGAACGCGTACCCTGCAGAGGACCTGAAGAATACTATTTCAGTCTTGTGCAGGATACCTAAGTTGCCCAATTTATTAGGATTCAATTAAGTTCTTGTCTAATAGTGAAACTTGTTGAGATTTTTGCATTACTAATAGTAGCCAGAAGAGTATATGCCATACCGGTGATTAGTGCTTCGATAGAAAGATTATTTAGCTCAACTGAAGTAGCATTTATTCAAAGACAAATACGTTTATCACCAAGTCAAATTGAAAATATTATTTATCAGTTCTTATGAGAAACTCAAGAAAAAGCAAAAACATATATAAGAAATTTTATGCATTTTCGTTGTATGTCTGATTATATTTATTTCTCATTTCGTTTCTACTGGAACACCTGTGATAAAATTTATTAACATGAACATTGTATCAATAGAGAGTCTATGATATTTGAGATTGTATTTCATAAACAAACAAGTTTAATATCCTCGTTAAAAAAAAGTAATTCAAAAATCGTCCTATAAAACACAATCACTGACGAAGAAGTCTCTTCAACTGCTCCCTTCTGATTTCAATGTTTTTTTCTATTAAGATTTGACTAAGCTATCATACTTTTAATATGTCTATTGTTAAACAGTCTCAGATTTTTGAAAACTCGTATGTTCGAATCTTGATCTGAGACTTTGCACATATAGAGAACTCAACTAGAATAGCTTACATGAACAAATTCACACGTTTTGCACAAAGTTTTCGCGAGATATGAAGCTTTTCAATAAAATGTATATTGTATACACAATCCATTCAAAAGGGTCCATATCTTAAAAGTCTTAAACTTTGAAGAGATTTTATTCAAAACCTCGGAATTTTTTTACATAAACGAATCTAATTTAGTTCTCTGTATACACAAGTTTCCAATCAAAATTCGAAGGTTCGAGTTTTTTGAAAACCTGGACTTTCTTGAAACTAGACATATTAAAAATTGAATAGATTAGTCAATTCTCAATACGAATCCAATGACTTGTAGGATTTTTACTCGAACACTACGTATTATCTATAGACAGAAAAAAGAATCATAGAAATCGGAAGGAAGTAGTTGAAGAGGTTTCCTATAGTGACTGAACAAATGTTTTGCAGGATGTAGAACAAGACGAAGAAGACCTTCCTATGACGTTCTCTTTGTTTTTTGCTATGATAGAAAAATTTTTTCATTGAATTCTTTAACTCAAAAGTAGCTAAGAAGTCACCGTGTTTATATGTATACATCAAGATAGTTGTCATAAATATTTTTTTGTAACAACAAGCTCATTGATTTTTTTTCTATCATATTGAAAAAAACAATGCTATGCGAAATGATAAGATAACGAAAAATATTATACAATATGAAAATAAAATCATAACATGTTTTGAATAAAAAAATAATATTCAATGATAAATTTTTATACAATCAATGAACACCTTGATATCAATCATTTGACTTCTTGAATAAATCTTCAATTGAAATAATCTTTTGTATTAGAATTAATATTTCATGTGACAATTAACTATATAGAAAACAATATGTATTTATTTTCATCTTATTTATTTATAAACTTAAAATAAATACCATGAGAGATTCATCCATGCCTCTTGATGATAATTAGCAAAATCAATTTGCAATTAGTGCTATCATAAGTTATCAGTATGCTGTATACATGACATACACATACATATATATAGACAAATGATGCATACATGAGATCGATAACATCCGGAGTGAAAAGAAGATAGGAGACAGTTGCTCCACCCTTAGTATCAACTAGAAATACACATTGGCACTAGGTGACAGCTTCTTACACTCATTAGTCGTTATAATAAATAGCAATCATAGACAATCGCATTAGCAATCAATTAGATTATTTCATGTCGGCATTTTGTAATAATATAAAGTTATAACATTGAAGTCGGCAATGTTTAATTAAAAAAAATATATATCGATGAAATAGATTGTTTGTATACAAGTCTTCGTTATATCTTTCTATTGATGTAATCGACTATGATTCTATTGAAGAGTTTTACAACCTCTTTCTCGCATCTTATGAAACAAAAAAAAAGAAAAAAAGAGTCAGTCAATGCGCATGCATACACATAAAATCTTATCTTATTTGTTCTATTGGCTTCTTCGATACGGAAATTCAATTATAATCATGAGAATAGGTAGAAGACGTTTGTAGTTGTCCGACATAGTCAAAAAAAACAATAATAAGAAGAAAAGAGGGAAAAAAATGATGATGATGAACACATATATATAGAAAACAGATCATCTTACAGACATAAAAAACATCTTTAACACAAATGGCATCGGTCGCACGCGACTTTCTTTTACATGTTCAATTATCTTTTTTTTTCTCTTTTTTTCCGTTGTCATATGGCGTTTTTCCAGTTGACTACTAATATAAGTATCTAGTGACTTTTTTTTGTATTTTAATCGATAAATATAAAACAAAGAAGATAAAATAAAGTGTTGTTATTTATTCATTTGAAAAAAAACACCTTTTGAACAAAAAAAAACAGGAAATACCTGGTGAGAATCAATTTCTTTAACCTATACGCCCTCCTATGTATGTATGACGGACATCCGGACTCTATTCAGCTTTTCTTTTCTTTTTTTGTAATAATCCATCCATCCGTTATAGAAGAAGGAAATAAGTGACCATATTCATCACTTCATCTAAGAAAAAAGAAAGAAAGAAGGCAACCAAGATCCAATATAGATTGATTTCTTTCTCTTTTGTCGATGTAGAGGGACTCCATTTTCCACTTCAAAACGATTCTGTTTCTTCTTGAGTGTTTACTGCTTTTCTCTCTCTTTCGCGTTTGCACACATAGTCAAAACGATAGATATATGTGTGAACAGCACAACATTTCCGGCACAACTTTATAAAGCTACCTGTTCATGCGCTTATTGATAGACAGATTGCTTACAATGGATTAATATGATCAGCAATAACTAGTCAACTAATCGAAAAAAGAAAGAGAAAAAAAAATGACAAGAATGAACTTGTCTCTTACGCACGAATGGCATAATTGAGTTTTTGATTTGTTCGATTGGATAATAATATAATATGAGATCATTTTATATTGAATACTTGAAGTATGAAAAAAAAGAATAAGAATATAGAAAGTTATAAAATAAATACACCTGATATTAATCAATTGATTTTTATTTATGAATAGAACAATATATATAAGTATTTATACAATGTATATTGTGAAAATAATAGATATATTGAATATGAAGTTTTTTTCTATTGGATAAAAATTTGAATGATTGATTGACTGAATCTGTTTTGCAAATAGAATAGATTGATGAAGAAACAAAAAAATCTTTTTTTTTTTAAGTAAGATGTTTTAATTCATGAATGTAACGATTATCTTTTTATGATCAATTTAAAAGTTAAATTGTTATTTTTCTCCTTCTTCTGTTTTTATTTATTCAGAAACCATGGATTTATATTTTGTTTGACAATGACAAACTTGTTAATATTCTTGTTTATAGACTTGAAAATGAATAAAAGTTACAAGCTAATATCAAAGCTATATACATATATATATATATATATATACAGTCGGTTATCGTCTCTTTTGGTGTTTTGTCGACAACATCTGAGTGGCTTTTCATCGGCATCACAATATCAATATATATATATATATTTATATACACATACAGACATCGATAAGGTCATATTATCACCTCATCACCTGCATCTATTGAAGAAACAGCCTGAGGCTTGTTACTATACATACACACTTTATTTCTTTCTTTTTTTGCAATATACTAATAAAAAAAAGAAGAACAAATCTTTGTTGTATTGCGTTTTTTTTTCAATCTTACTATAACGATTTAATGGTATAGTAATGATGATTATGATTGAAAAAACGAGAAAGATCTTTGCATGAATACTCAAAATATTTACTTAGCGGTTGTTCGTCTACAATAAGAGAAAGCAAGGAAGGAAAAAAAACGCAAGAATGACACAGTCTCTATCGTTTTTTTTTATTGCACACTCGCGCTCGTTTTCGATAACATTTTCTTCGATTGTTGATTGGTTCTATTTATGTGTGTGTATGTTCGCAGAAAGAATACTTTCACATGTCAATCTACACATACATACATGAGAGAGATGATGGGATTGGCCGTTACGATAATATTTTTTCTTTTTCTCTCTTTCTTTCATTGCCGATCGTAAATCGATCCTTCTCTCTCGCAAACGCGCTCTCTTGAAAATGACGACAACGAACGGAAATGAGCAGCAAACAGTCAGCATTACCCCATCGGAAATAGCCAAGCAGATCAGTCGTCTGTGAAGGTGAGAAAAAAGAGAAAGCGAAAGAAAGAGAGAGAGAGAGAGACATAGAGAGAAAACTTTTCTCATAACAATCATAGAATAACATAAGACACTTTTAGGGAAAAAGATCTTTTAGATATATATATATATATTATTATTATTATTATCATTCGTCAGTTGTTTGCTTACTTACATATATAATTTTCTTTTCTTGTATCAATGTACTTTTTTTTCTTTAATTGTCAAACAAAATATTTCGTTTAACTAACATTCCTTTTAAAACAACAATACAAAGATTATTTTAACTACTCATGACAAATAAAATTGAAACAACAACAACAACAACAACATCAATTGATGATGAATTACTTGTTGATGTTGTAAGTTTAAATGGTAATAGTAGTTTATGTATTGATTCATCTCATCATACAACATCATCATCATCATCAACAACATCTTCATCATCACCAAATCATTCAATTGATTCAAGTCCACATTCACCAACATCATCATTATGTGGTGGTACAGAAGATGAACATACAAATTCTTCAACACAAAAATCATCATCATCATCAACTAAACAACATATTGTTAAACCACCTTATTCATATATAGCATTAATAACAATGGCTATATTACAATCTCCATCACGTCGTTTAACATTAAGTGGTATATGTGAATTTATAATGAATCGTTTTCCATATTATAAAGAACGTTTTCCAGCATGGCAAAATTCAATACGTCATAATTTAAGTTTAAATGATTGTTTTTTAAAAATTCCACGTTCACCAGGAAATCCAGGTAATAACAAGAAAAAAAAACGAGAAATTTATTTTGTATTATTATAGAATTTGTTTATAGGAAAAGGTAATTATTGGACATTAGATCCTGCTAGTGAAAATATGTTTGATAATGGCTCATTTTTACGTCGTCGTAAACGTTTTAAACGTTTAAATCATCATCATCATCATCATCATACAGCTTGTTTTCATCATGGATCTGTTGTATCATCAACAGGAGGAGCACCACCATCATTTCCTCCAATACCATATCCATTTATTCCAACATCATCAACAATAAAACGATGTTTTCCATTATTACCACCACCATTACCTATACTTCCTCCACCACCGCCAACAATACCAATTATTCATCATAATCAAAGATCAAAAACTTCATTTACAATTGATAATCTTATTGGAAATAATAAAACATCTTCATCGTCCTCTTCCTCCTCATCATCATCATCATCAACAAATGTTAATTCTGTATTAACGATAACTAATCGAGAAACATTTCGTGTATGAATTTTTTTTTTCTTCTTTGTCTTTTTTTTTTGTTTTGTATCTATGTGCCACTTTATTCTATATTTGACGACTAGTCAGTGAGAGCATGTTTTTTGCCCGTTTGTTTTTTTTTTCTTTTTTTAATATATATTCACGTATATATATATATACATACATACATATATTATAATAATAACATTGTAACCAATGAAAAAAAAACTTAATCTTAACAAGAAAAATGATCGGTCAGATGTAAACTGATAAGAAATATGTTCTTGTCTAGTTTTACAACTCTTTTTTTTTCCTGTCATGAAAAGCAATAAATTAATGTATAATGTGAATCATTATTCTCGAGTAAATCAAATAGTCGATAGTTCTTATGTTTACTTCTTGTAAACAGTAACACACCAAAAAAAAAAAAAAAAAAAAGAAAAAGAAAATGACAATCAATTTCTTTTTGTGTTTTGCTTTTTGAGATTTGCCCATCTGTATCATCATAGACTTATTGTCACCAATCATTGTGTTGAAAGATTTTCATCTGTTTCTGATGATGATGATTATGATACCCTTGTATATACATGCGAGTATCTGTTCGTTGTTAATCATATATATTAGACTGCTGCTTCTCTTTTATATGTATGTTTTGATGAATCGCTTTCTCGTTTGTACCAACAAAAGTCAAAATAAACAAATGGATAAATATCAATTGTTGTTATTCCAATGAGATCTGTGTATGTATTCTCTCTTCTGCACAATTATCCACAATAAGGAGGAAACAACATGTCGTCAGTCGGATATCCGTCTGTTGTTGATGTAAGCGAGTATGAAAAGATTGAGAGAAAAGAAATAAAAGTGACTGTTGTTAGGATAGTAAGCAATAACAATTAGCTTCATCCCTCGACGTAGATAGACAAGATATGAATGAAGACGATGTGCGAACGAACACAGCTGTGCATAAGCCTGTGCGTTTGTGTATCTATTCGTTTTGCATGAGTACCATATAAATACAAATAGAAAGAGAGGGAGAGAGAGAGAGCGACAGATAATGTCGAAATCTTTTCTTTTTGTCTCTTTAAATTGTTTTTTATTTATTATTCTAAATAAAAGTAATGATTGATATTTTCTTTTGAAAAGTATACTATATGTAATTCATTTTTATACAAAAGAATATTTCAAGACTGCCAAGGATTAAAGCGTAAAAAGATTTGTTTTGAATTTTCAAAAGATTTTATTTACAAATAAAAGTAACAATGAGACGTGTAACGATCGATATCTTAGAATGGGATTGCTTATTATTAAATGTAAGAAGTTGTAATAATGTATTTATATAATAAATAATGTTGTAATAAAGTTATATTGTTGTTTTTTTTTACATTTATAAGATAAGCAGAACTCAAAGAGTACTTCATTTTTTTTTCTTTAAGAGTAAATCATCAAATAAGTATTGCACTTCTTCTTCTTTTTTTTTATGATAAACTTGACTACATAAGAGAGAACGAAAGAAATTTATATAGTAAAATATTTGTTTAAGAAACATTAATTTCTTATCAAAAATGATAATCATATAAAATAATGAATGATGTTTGTTTATTTTTATTTATATATAAATATTTAGAATTATTGTCATTAGATGAAAAGAAAAACTGTAATAATAAAGTTTGTGATAGATTTTTTTTGCATTAAAATTAATACATGATTTTAAAATGTTGAATTATATGTCTTATTGATAGAATTGTTCTAAAACGGAAGTCAGAAATAAAATACTTGTTAACACTTATCTTGTTTTTAATAGAGTATATTAAAATGAAAATATTTTTGTATGTTTGTCACACAGAATCTGTCTACCAGAAAGACAAAACGATCAACACTTAATCAATCATTATTACATTCAATTTTATTGTTGATTAAAAGTTTTAATTAAATAAAGAGATACATCTTTAAAAGAATATTGGTACAATGAAAAAGAATAAAGCAAAGATTTGTTCTAGATCAAGATAAATTCGATTTTTTCTTCTTTATAATTTAATTCAAATATAAAAAGTTATTTTTTCTTTGCTTATTGTGAAGATACTTCATAGTTAAACGAACAGGAAATTTTTACTCGTTGACTTTTTTCAAAACATTATTACTTGATTAATTATTGATTTACGTTTGTTAATTTTCTAGATCAAATATTCATCAAGTTAGCACATTTTTTTTTTGTTACATCAAATTTGTGATCATTACTCACATTTAAATGTCGACAGTATCTTATTCAATACCTTAGGACGAGTTGATCCCTTGTTTGGCCTTTTTATTGCAGATTGAAACCACTACAATCGTATATATAGAGTAGTCTGAATATCACATTAATTTCGAAATCAATAATGAATCATGAAAAATTCGATACTGTAATTTACTTTACTGAACATTTTAATTTATTCGCTACAGATCGATGAATTTTTCAGTCATTCAGATTTAAACAAACTGAAATTCACTATTTTAGTTAGTATGTTATTTATTATGATTTGAAGCGAAGCTAAAAAGCAAAAAAACATTAATTGAAATATTTTAATATCTCATCAAACATATCAAATAAAATAGAACTCTTTTGAAAAGTTCTAACAAAAGATCAATTAATTATGTCATCTGTAAATCCTTAAAAAGCATATTGAAATAAATGAACAAGCAGTATTCTATTATTGTCAAAATATATACAAAGTCAAAAAAAATCATTCTTTATGGGTCATTTATAAACATATTTAAGATTCTATTTTTATAATATATATTGAATAAATTTGATTTCAAAAAATACAATCTTGATATTTTCATTTTGCTTTATTCGACATAGTAAATTTAATTTTATTAAGATTTAATTTACTAATGTGAAAAATTTTTTTTCTTTTTTTTTTGACTTTTTAACAGATTGATTTTCGAAATTCATTAAATCGTTTTTAATGTCAATTTAATCAGCTAAAAGACTTTGCGTAATTAAAATCATCGAATAATTATGCTTCATATTACATGAAAACAAACAAAAAACCAATACTATGAAACGCAAGACAATTTAAATGCAAGAAAAACAAAAGAATCAAAAAAAATTTTTTTTTGTGTGTTTATTTATAATGTTTTGTTTAAGAATCAAATTATTGATTTAATGCTAATAAAATCATTTTAAGTTCAGCTTTGCTAATTTTTTTATCTCGATTGACATCACATCCATTTAATAATGATCGTTTAAATTGTTGTAAATCATCATTGTCATATTCCTAGAAGAAAAAAACTGTTAAAAAGAAATATAATTAAAATTAAAATACCTTTTTAACAAGATCCATAAGATCTTTGACGAAACCATCTAATTCTTCTTCTTCAATAAAGTTATTGCCATCCTGGTTTTTTTATTAATACAAAAAGAAAATATGTCTTTTTTTTTTTTTCGTCATCTTAAAAATGTTTACCTTATCATAAAGATGAAATACTCTATCGAGATCTTGTGAAGTTAAAGATGAATAACCCTATATTTCATATAGGATTAAAAGCATTTTTTTTTATAGTAAAAAAAAAACCAGTAATAATTACTTTAAAAATTGGCCGTAAAAGAAAATTTTCTTTCACAGGTAAAAGTCTATAATTATATTTCAACAAAAAAAAAAGCAATCTTCTTTTTTTTTCCTCATTTTTTTATTACGTACTTCGTCATTTCACTAAATTGTAATTTTCCATCGCCATTTGTATCAAAAATATGTAACTATAAATATATAGATTTTACAAAAAAAAACAGATAAACTATATAAGTTATTAACATACAATAGAATCTGTATATTCAATTAATTTTTCTTCAGTTACTTTATTTCCTTGTCGTTTATTTAAAAGTGTTTTAATAAATTGTTTTAATTCATCAGCTTCAATATAACCAGAACAATCTGTATCGAATTGTTTCCATACTCTCATAAAATCAACACTTGATTCGAGTGGATTATCTTTACGAAAAAGTAGAAGAAAATTTTCTTCCATAGGTAATATTTCAGCTAACTAAATTAAACGAATAGAAAAGATTTCAAAAAACAAACAAACAAACAAACTTCTCCAATTTCAATACGACCATCGGAATTTTCATCATAAGCATCTAAGAAACATTCTTTTAATTCTCGATATATAGTATCTGGTATCGTCTAAAAATAACCATTATGAAAAGAGAAGAAAAAACAATTCACAACTTACGTCTAAATTTGTATCGCTTAAATTAACAGACGATGCAAGTTCTTGAAGTAGATTATCTAATTCATGACCTTCAATATAACCATTACCTAGACAAATGAATAACATTTAAAAAAAAAAACTTCTTTTTTTTCCCCTAAATACCATCAACATCATAATGACTCCAAATTTCCATAAATTGTGTTGCAGTTAATTGTTTCAATTCTTTACTTTGTTCATCTCGATATTGTCGTAAAAAATTTTCTTTTTTACGATGACATTCATGTTTTTTGACAGTTGTTGCCATGTATAAACGTAATTTGAATTAGTACATGCACGTTAACAACTAATAGACAAAAGTAATTCACTGCTAGCTATGTCTAGTGTATGTTAATGAAACAAAATATATATACTCACAACGTCTAGAAAAAAAAAAAACTTATTTATCATATTTTACTTTTTCTTGTTTTACACTTTTCTCATTTAAATTTTTTATTTCTCCTCGTTTAACGCTCATCCATATGAAATAAAATCGCATCATTCTTTCTATTCGTTGTATGATATTTTATTTTCATTCTGCATGCTGTTACTGACATGTTTCGACATTCTTTTATAATATTCATTCATTTGGAAAAATGTAAAAGATTTTGTCAGGAAAAAAGACAGATAATTACATGAAAACAGGACACTTAGCTCTTGTATAATCAGCTGACATTTATCAAATTTTTCTCGAGTACAAGCACGCAATACAATATTTTGAGATTCTATTGTGTGTCAAGAAAAAAGAGAAACTACAAGTATTAGTTGTCATTATTCAGACCGGGAAGAAAAAATTGTGTATATACAGCAGGAGAGAACGACACACACACACACATACTCTTCCATACAGGTAGATACTGAAAAGCGTACGCATGACAGATAGTAGAAAAAAAGGAAAGAATTTATGTGACGGTAGAAAGCATCACCATGTATACGTAATTTCCGGTTTAAAAAGAATGTGAAGAGAAGAAACATGAAGTATAATAGTTTGGGTGGTATTTTATCGTTTGACGCATATCCCATTACATTACTTTTACTAAAAATAATTCGATGCAAGAATAAGAACACTAAAGTGGCATTCAACAAGAGAAGAACGTCCCTACATATAGTAGCAAAAAAAAAAAAATCTATCAATCTCTGTTTTTTCGCTCGTTCTTTTGATAGACATGTCTTTTTAAGAATTTTTTTTTCCTAATTAAATGACGAACATTTTTTTTCTTTTATTATCGTTTTCAACTTAGTTAAGTTTAGCGTGTAAAAAAATTGATTAGATTGTCAATATTTCGATTAAATTCTTTGATGAGATACATTCATTTGCAATTATTTTATTAGATTTATTATACATGATGATCTTTCTGCATTATTATCATCATTAGATCATATAAAAGAAAGTTTATTGAAATTATCAGTAATGATAATGATATAGATAAGAAAATTCTTTTTTTTTCTCTGATTATTGGTAATATCATTTTGTTTCCAATTTATTATATGCATAGATATATACATGATGAACGAAATACAATATATAGATTGAATAAATTTTGACCTTGAAAATACTAATATTTTGCTTTAGAAACGTTTTTCTTTTCTTTTCTTTTTTGCTATTTAACTATTGATCACGAGGGAAATGCAGGAGACAAAAATAAAATAGTAAAGGTAATTCTATTCTATAACAGCCGCTAGTAAATATTTTATAAATTATAATTTATTCTCCTTTTCTTTTTTTAATAAACGATCTTCACCATCATTATTATATCAATATTAAATACTAAGTTAAATATTAGAATTGTTGATGAAGCTGCTGCTTTCGTATTGGTATAATCAATAAAAAAAGAAATACAAAAGTATTCTCTTGTTTTTTTTTCATTTTGGATAAAAAATAAATGCAAGACTAGAATTTCTATTAATAATCTTGATTTCTTTTTTTTTTTTGCTTTCACTTTCTATGTTTCAATAAGAAACAATTCTGTTGTTTATTATAATTATAATAACAAGAAAAAAATCGACTTCCTTTGTATGTTATATGATTTTTTTCGTGTGCAATTTAATTGAAAATATTCTTGATTGATTTTGGTTCTTTTTAAAATACCGATCATATGAATAAACAACATGCAATCAACAGCAAGAAAACATTTCTTTGTTAAAAGTACTGAATGTTTTTTCAAATAACATAGTCTGTCTATGACTTTGAAAGAAATACGAAACATTGACTATGAACTATATATGTCATGTTAAGTTGCTTGGAACAATCTATCTTTCTTTTTTGTGATTTAATCAAGTTATTATCATTCTCAATTTTCTTTGCCTGACTAATAAAGTATTCACAAATATATAAAAAGAAAATAAGATTAATAATAATTTGAAAAGATTAAAGAAGTTATATTTTCTTGTTTATTTTATTATTCAAACATAATCATGAATCAAATTTGTGTTCAAAAATGATTTTATTTGATTGTTCGTCAAAATATTTATTAGTTTCATATATTCTACATGAAATTGTCATGAACACGTTTAGGGTTAATAATAAGATTCATCTTCATAGATTCTTGTAATTTTAGTAAGACAATAAGTTCTTTAACCGTTTATAATAAAAAAATCCTTCAAGGGTTCATGCTCAATATGATCACGTAAGGGTTCATGAAAATTATATCTAGGCTTGATGAGACTAATAAATCTTTTTGAATAATTTATTATTCTGCGTTTTTTTTTCTTTGGATTGGATTTTTTTATCAATTTTTATTATATTTGTTAATATTGTTGATGGAATGTTGAATATATACATAAAATAAAATCTAAAAATTAAGTGTGTTTATCGAATGATACAAAAAAAACACGTTTGATTTATTCAATTTCGAAATATTCAAAGAATCATTATTTATCGTAGCGATGAAGTCAGAAAAAAAAATTTCTAAGGGGCTCAGCATTCGTTTGAAGCGGAAAAGTTGATATTCGCATCGGCTATAATATAGAATCGTTTCATTTCTGAAAGAAGGTGAATACCCTAGCTTCGTCATTACTTTATTCATTATATTTCATCCAATGTACTGAATAATAAGTGACTTGGTTAAGTAATATTTATTAGACGAAAAAAAAGAATGTATGTCATGATAAAAGAAATCAAATCAATATAAAATCTAGTTTAAGTTGTTTCACTAAATTTAATTGTTAATTATTCAAGACACTTGATCTCTCTTTTATTAGAAAAAGCCAACTATCTAGTACAAAAATATTTGAAAGAATTTGATCTTAGATGTTTTCTGAAGACTATAAAATTGTCTAAGAATAGACAATAATAGTAAATCATTTCACAATGAGAGTCACAATTTTTGTATCTAATACAAGTTTATTTCACCTTTTTCATAATCAACTTTTGATGTTTCTCAGAATCAGATATAAATATATAGTTGCGTATTACAACAACGGCTTTTGTATGAGATTAAACTAATTCATTTAGCATTTAAGAGACTGAACTATAAATACTTTAATTACAAAAATCAACTTGATATTTAGAACAGTAAGACAAATTTTGGTTGAATTATATCACAAAGATGTAAAGAGTGGCAAATCTCAAACTGATAATAATTGAAAATCTATATGTGACGAAATTTCTACAGATTGAAAAGAAAATCCTAGGAAATGTAATTATCTGTTATTTTGAATAGTATAATTCGAAAATTAGCCAAGAAATCAGAAATTTACTGTCTTTAGAGTGATCGTACAAGTACATTATTAAGGTGACACGAATAATCACTGTTACGGCAATCGTAGAAACTCAAATTATCAACAAAATGACATTTCATGGTTTTCTTTTATCTTTATTATCTGCTTTTATGGTGGTGACTTTTCATTATGCATAGAAATAAATTACTGATTTCTATTATTTGTCAATGGATCGTTTTGTCAAAAAACAGAAATCGGCATTTTGAGATTTACCACGGTCTCAAATTGAAGAAAGTTGCTAAAACATTCCCGGATATCTTTTGTTCTAAGATTTATTTTTTTAGCCTTCAGGAAACATTTCTGATAAAAATTTTTTATATATTTTTGCACTAGACATTTTAGTTTTTCTAACAAAGAAAAACAATGAAATATTTAGGTCATGACATTGGAATGTTATACTAAAAAAAAATAAATTTAATGAGGAAGTTTAAGTTCCTGTCCTTTAATCATTGAACAACTTTTATAGAATATTCACAGCATATCTACGACGATAATTAAATGTGCATTCGCATCCCTGAACTAATAATTCCGAAAACTAGTTCCACGAATTTCCGATCAAAATAAAATTTGTTCGAGTTAGAAAACTATGAAACATGACAAATACTCACAAGTACGAATCTGATGATCATGTGTCATAGTCGACTCTGTATATTCAAGACTAGTTCTGATTAGAATTGAAAAATATCCAGCTATCAAACTCAATCATTGGGTTTCTATCATTATTTTATATTTTTTAGAAGCTTCGATATTCATTTCAACCTTGAATAGAACAAATGAAGATTTAGCTTTCTGAACTACAGGTTTCTTCAAATTTGATTCATAAGTATTGAGTATTACGGGAATTATTGCTGTCGGTGGTACTGTAAATCAATTCGATGTTATGAACAAGTTTTAAAATCTTCTCCATATTATTGAAGACTTATTAGAATGAAAGAAAAATAAGATTTCTGTCTTTATGTGATGATTAAGATATAAAATGTTGTCATTTTGCTTTAATACATTCATTTTTAACAACTTTCAATATATTTCACTACGTTAGTTTCCAGAGTAAAGTTTAAAAATGCGCTTCCCATTTCGTCAAATTTCTATCCTCTCATAATGGCTTTATTTATGTAGAGAATTATAGAAAAATGAAGATTGACATGCAAATATTATTTAAATTGGAATAAAAATATCCCTATATCATGAAAGAAAAAAAAAAAGTTCTCAAGAATATTAACATTAGTTTAAAATTGATCTAACCTATTATATTAAAAATACAATGAATATTACAAATCAAATTATACCATTATTCGATACTTTTTATCTATAAGATTTACATTTACTAAACAATAAAAAGTTTTTATACGATTTTTACCTCCTGTGATAAGACCCCAAAATATTTATATCTCGTATCCTCAATGATTATTTCTCGCTTTTATAATGTCTTCTGTATAAGAACTAGCAATTGAGACTCTTCTTGCAAATTTAGAGCAATGGCTATTATTCTCGGAAAGCATCTTACATAATTCAGGAAGTCACATTGATGTGAAAACGTTTTGCTCAAAAAAACTTTTAAATCCTAGACATGGACATTCATCAATATGATAATTGTCGAGAGACCTCTATCGGATAATAAACAAAACTGTACAATTAAAAAATATTTTCATTTTATTAACATAAATAAATTAAAACTTTTTATTAAAAGAATCTTTTAAAATAAATTATTATTTTCATTGGTTCATGTAATATTAATTTGTGGGAAACAAAGACATTTTTTTTGTCTTTTGTTCTCGTTTTTCTCTTGTTCGTTCTCTATTATATATGTGTCAGTTTTCGTTCGCATACTACTCATGAAATAATGGCAACAACATCGTCCGCTCCAATACTCTATTCTATTTTGACATCATCTCATGATAATAATGAAGATTTTGTTAATCAATTACGTAATCATCTTAATCAAATTGAAACCAATGTTCAAGAAACTTTAAATAAAATTCAACAACGTAAACCATATACATCCACTAAAACAACTACAAATAAAATTGATTCAACAATAAGAAATAATTTTTTGAATATGTAAGCATTTTAAAAATACAGTGAGAATATTAACACCTCAAAAAATTTTTTTTTTCTAGACTTAAAGATGTAGCAATGAAAAATAATACAGTAAGAAAGTTTTATTATATAAAAATATTGTTTTAAATTGTATTATATTTAGCCATTCGATGAATTATTGTTTCGTCAACAAATTTTAGATAAACAAAATTCATCTCCATCATTGTAAATAACGTTCTATAAATTATTCAATTCATTTTAAACTTCTAATTTTTTTTGTTTTCAGAAAAGTTGATGTTGTTCGAGCTAAATCATCAATTATAAACGATACTAATGATCAACATTTATCACCGATTAATAATACTCGTCGGTCACAATTTGCTCCTGTTCTTAGTAGTACACCCGTACATCAAACAAGTCCAATTACACCGATTCCAGTTGATCTTACCAGTAAGTATTTTCATTTATTTTTCTAGATATTAAAAGTTTTTCTTTGATATAGTGGCTACTCCATCAGTCCCACCAGTTTTATTATTAAAATCAACTGATCTTCCAACTGCTCTTCCATCAGCTATTGTTCCTCAACGAGCTAAAGTAGGACGTACAGCGGCAGCTGGTCGTCCTCCACGTATTCCACGTGGTGAATCAGTAACACGTCAAAAGAAAACTTCCCCACTATCAGTAAAAGAACAACAACAAGAAGAGATAATCCTTTCTAAAGAAATTTATCTTTCATCAAAACGTCAAATAAAATCTAGACAAGAAATTATTGAAGATAATGTTGAAGTTGTAATTGAACAACAAAATGATATTTTACCTGATATTATTAAACAAGTACAAACAACTCCATTACGTGGAAGAACAAAAAAACCTATTCAAGATAATCTTAATATTATTATTCCACAAGTTGAACCAACAGCAGTTGAACAAGAGAAGGAAATAATTAACAAGAAAACCCGAGGTGGAAGAACTAAAAAGAAAGATGAAAAACCTGGTGATGACGTTAAACCAACAAGAACAACTTCATTACGTAATCGTAATAAAAAAGAAGAAGAATTTATCATTCCAAAAGAAGTTCAAGTTGCTTCGAAAAGAACAACTAGAAATAAGAAATTCGTCGAACCTGTTGTCAATATTGAAGAAGTAAGTTAAATGCTATTTCCTTCCTTTCATGATATCCGAACTAATAGAAGTATTGAAGTAGATAAGAGAGAAATTTTCACTTTTCATAGACTGTTATGACCATTATCATGCAGCCGTTACAGATAGGTCTGAGCAACATAGTTTTGGCCGGAGAAGAAGGAAAACTTCCATTGGAAGTGATATTTTGGATGGTCATGTAAAACTTATATCTAACGGCATATCTTCACAATTCATCTACTCTTAAAATTTATTGGGAAATTCCTTATCGGAAGGTACACAAACATCCAGAATAGACGAAGTATTCATGAAGAAATAAGAAATCGTAAATTTCCAAAAGGGGAGATATTAGAAGTCCTGCGAGATGTCTCAAGCTTATTATTATCACTAGGCAACGATGTCGTACTTTCCACTAGTGCATATGTTAATGAAAGAACTACTCCTCAATTGAAACCCTTCGTCGAACGTCGTATTGCATCCACAAGTAATTCTTTGTGCGACTCAAAGCAGAAGATAGATTTCCGTGGTCTAGATATTGAATTTCTAAAAATAGCTCTTTGCCACAAAAAAATCAATTTTCTGAGTCGTACTATACATATACATAGGTACAACTTTGAATCTAATCTCCGTTATTCAGGTTTTCGAGAAGTATCACAGAAGAGGTCGAAGTTTCAGTAAATGTGTTATAATTTAACATCAAATATTCATGAGACAGCTAAATCGTATTGAAGATTTGAATCTCGCAAGGATGGCACTAACAAAGCTTTTCATATATTTTCAGAATCCACCAACAACTAAAGTTCGTGCTACTCCATCACGCAGTAAAAAGAAAGCATCCTTGGCAACAACTGAACCAATCATCGTAATATCACCAAAAAACCTAACAACAAAATCGAAAAAAAGAAAAGGCAATGACGAGACAACTGATGCTCCACTTGATGTTATACAAGTATAAAATTTCCTTGATTTTTTTTGACTGTACTTAATTTTTTGTTATATTAGCCTTCATCACCAAAACGTCGTGTTGGTCGTAATACACGATCTAAGAATTCAACACCTTTTGAAACAATATTAATACCACCTTTTATTGATCAAGAACCACCACCACTATTACCAGTACAACAACAAGAACCACTTATGTCTACACGAAGTAGTCGTCGTGGTAAAAAAGATATTGATATTCCAATAGAAAAACAAGAAGATATTGTTTTGATTAAAAAAACTCGAACTGGTGGTCGTGCAAAGAAAACGAATGAACCGATCAATACTGATAATCCTGTCTCTGTCGTGATGACATCAGTTACTGTATGAGTTTATTGAAATTTTTCTCACCTTGATAATATTTATTCACTGAATGTTTTTTTGTTAGACATCAATACCAACATCATCATCAATGAACTCTTTAGTTTCAAAACCACCTCGTCCACCAATTGTACGAAAAAAGAAAAGTCTTGCAATGCCACCTTTACCTCAAACATCTCCAACAACACCACCAAAACAAACACAACGTATTCAATCAACATCACCTGTTAATGATGAGCCATTATTACCAATACCTGTTCCAATTAATAATAAGCGACGTCGTCAACCACAACGTCGAATAGTTCATTCACCGATTCGAGTAGAAAAATCGTCTTTAGAAATATCACCATCGAATAATCGTAATCAAAAACGTACACGATCATCAGTAGCGACGACACCAAAACGAATTCGTCGTGAAGATCTTATGATAACAACTATGCCTAGTACACCAGGTAAAAAACGAAATAAATGTACGTGTCAAAAACGACGGAATAAAAGATGTGACATTTGTGCAGCAGCAATTGATAGTTAATAAATGGTTCTTTTTCCTCTTTTTTTTAAATATTTTGTATAGATTCGATGTGCACTAGTATGTGTCTTTGTTGTCTATTGTAAATGTGTCTATGTGTTATTGTTCTCTATATAATATTCTAGTTTGCCTATTTTTTTTTTCTTGTGTTATGGCTTCGTCAGATAATGAAAAAATAAAATAAAATCGAATTAATTGGTTTATTGATATCATGATTACTTTAAATTTTAAAATCTTGTAAATACTTCAAACTTTTTATTTAACGTTAATTATCATGACCAAAAAAGTATAGATGTGTATAATAGAAAGAATGAAGAAATAGTAGCAATGAAAAGTTCCCAAGTCTGTTGGAGTTAATAATTTGTGCATGAGTGCAGTTCAATGAGATTAGTAAAAGCTGTATGAAAAGTTTGGCCGGCCATATTTTAATCTGAAATTTCGCCTAAATACTGTATTGTGTGTTCAAGAAATAGATCATGAAATGTATGATGTCGCGAAAAGAATGTTATTGTCTTTGACTGAAACTGTTATGAAATTTTCCTGAGTACAAGACCTATCCACAGGGAAAATTTGAGAACCTATACACTTTTAGTGAAAAATATGCAGTCTACAAGCATAGGAGAAAAATTTTTACTGTGCAAACTCACTAAAGAAAGCGTTTTTTAATAATTAGAGCATGAAGTTCATGCACAAATTGTATCAGCGAGTTATCAATAGAGTACAATCCAACTGGTTTTTGTTTTATTTTGTTGTACCTTCAGATATGGGCGGCATGATTGCCTTTCGTTTTGCTTGCATTAATGTTTAGGTTAAAATTTATTTTGTTTTTTCACTAATACACATTACAAAGTACATGTCACAAATCATGATAGAATAGTTAACGGCATAGCAACAAGTGCTATTTTTGTAAGAAAAGTGAACAACATTCAACATGAAAACTTTTGTACTTTGGTTCAGTTATAACAAATCCTTTCTGGAACGACCAAGTACCAAACCTATTAGTATTATCCGATAATTAATGAAACTAATTTATTTTTAGCATATTGTTGTTTTCAGTACATAGTGATCTTGTGTTTCTCTCTGAATTTTTTTTTAAATATATATATTTTTAAAAGAAAATCATTTTTTTTTATTTTGGCGGAAAGATTAATTTTTCCATTTTAACAATAGACTTCTCACATCTGTTTAGCGATGAACTATTCAATATGGACTACTGCTTTTCTATTGTTATTACAACGTAGTTAGACAGCATACATAAGTTTTATTTTTCTTCTCTATCAGAATGTATACTGAGAAGTTTGTATCAACTAATCAAATAGATAGAGAATGGTTTATTAGCATCGTTTGTTCTGCGTCAAATACAGCAGTCGTATACAGTATGTTTATATTATAAATAAACAATAATGAAGTATTACATAACATCGGAGTAGTATTGTGCTCAACAGATACAGGAAAATAGATTCGAATTGAATATGTTTATAGTTATAGTTTAAATGCTTATAGCATTGAAATATTAAATTTATTCTAAGTAAATCACTTCTGATTTATAATCAATTTCCATTGTCAAAGGGTGAACTTAACACATTGAAAAGATTATATATAGCAAACAAGATTGTGTCAATCATATCTATTAGTCATCATGTTGATTGATGCTCTTCATATTACTGACTTATTGCAAAATAATGTTAGAAATTCCCGACTTTGTCAATATTAACAAAGCATAATACGATGTTATATGTATACATATATAATCTTTAAGAGAAGGTCATTTAGCTAACGTCTGATGTTGAATAAGCAATTGAAAATTGTTATTTTTTTTTTACTTCAAAACAAAAACATTTTCTTATTAGGTATTATAACGTGAAATACAGAATAAATAGCTATCTAATTCATTAATATCGATTTGCTCTTCGTCCGTTCCTTAATATATATATATATATATTTATTCCAGTTAATCAAGCACAAATCAATAAGTAAAATATCAACGTCTATCAAGCGAGCTCCAGCCCTTTCAATTAAATAATCAATCCAAGAAAAAACAAATAGAACATAGGAACACTAATATATTCTGCATGTTTAGAATGGTTTTCTCTATCTGATACATCTACTCAGTTAGCATAAAGACTTCTGGATTGAGATACAAGTTGTTAAAAAATATTCCAACAAAATTTTAGCATAATGATCTTCTCATTAGAGTTCGTTAGATTGGCTCTAGATCCAATGGGCTCAACTCTACATATTTATCTGATGATTCGTCTGAGAAATGTCTAGGGTGCACTAGTCATTGAATACAAAAAAGTCCAGAGAAAAGCATGTTGTATCTTCGGATCGACTATCCTATTTCAATTAGAAAGTTTCATTGAAAGTATTAAAGTAAGATTCGAGCGCGTCGAAAAAATTTCAATTAACCGAATCCGAAAATGTTGGATCCGATTTCTAATAGAAGTTAAACTATAGCCATGTAGTGCATAGAAATTATTCAATGTATATTAGTTAGATGAGTCATTTTTGATATTAATATACAAGAATAAAATTTTTTTTTCTATAACCTTTATTTTATTTTACCTAATTACATGTCGAAATAAGAATATCATATATAATTTGTGTTTTACAAACACACACATAAAATCAAAAACAAAGTATTTATGTTGTCTGTCGTTTGTCATGTAAATATATACATAATACAAATACTCAAGTAATATTTCTTTTTTTTTTCTTGTTCAAAATATTAATAAATATCTGAGCAAAATATTTAAGTAGTTGTTGTTGATGGTGGTGGTGCTGGTGCTGGCGCCTTTTTTGTTGATGATCGTGGTGGTACAGGAGGAGCAAGTGGGACTAAATTGAATGGTGGTGGCATATCAGTATCTTTTAATTGTACGTCTTCAACAGGAGCTGATGCTTGTGGATTTTGATTACTATCGTCTTCAATATCTAATCCAGGATTAAGATTATCACATATTCTATTCATCCAAGACATTGGTTCTAATTTAAATAGTGTTATCCAACAACCACCACGTTGATACTATTAAAAAAAAAAAAACAATTTTTTTTTCGTTTTTTCAAAAATAAATTTTGGGTCATGTCAAACCACAAGTGAACACCGTTCAGGTTGAATTTCTCCTGGTAATCGTGCAATTGAAATCGCATATAATTTTGTTTGAACATTTATTGAAAATGTAAATGATCTAGAGTTTATTCTCTTTTAAAAATTACTTTATTGATTTAATAATAATAATACTAACTGATTTTGAAAATTAAGTTCTTTTTCATGTCCATTTGATGGAACAAATTTAAAAATATTTGGAAATGATCGTTTAACTTTTAATTCAGGAATATTTAAATAGACAAGAACTTTACGTGCACCTTCTTCTTGCACAACAACTAGAGAAAAAAATAATTTCATTTTTGAAGTTAGTTCAATTTATTGAATACATACAACTTGGTAGAATTGGTTTTGTCGTAGTATTACTTGCTTGCATAACGACAGTTTTTTTTCAAATGATGAATAATAACGACATGATATGTAAAAACAAGTATTCGGTCATATAATAACTGTAAAGAGACGTGAATAGAATATGGTATTCTTTTTTTTTCTCTATCGATCACTCATGTTTATCTTTGTCTGTCAGAACGAAATGAAGTTATTTGATTGGCTTTTAAAGGAACCTATTAGATTGTTAGCTCGTATAGATCCATGTCGATACTTTCAACATGATGTACGCGTACCGTGAAGTGCCTTAATCCAGTTCAGTAATTATCTTCTTGATTTATTTCTGCAAGTTAATGATATTGTGGTGCTTCATTAAATGGACAGTACATGACTAAATTTATTTAACAAAAGAAGCATACGAAATTTTTATTCGCTTCGTATGAAATAATATAATGAACGTAAAAAAATATTTTTAAAAAAAATTAGCTTTTGTTGATGGTTATCTGAATGTCGCTTTCGAATTATTTATCATGATATGAAATAAAGAGAGAACGGGATAAAAAAGAAAATGCATTTTGAAAATAAGATTATTAAAAGCAATTTTTATTTACAGATAGATTACACTATGTTTTTTTGGCATTTTAATTTAAAATAACTAAAGAATTCTGTAGAAAATAACAGTTTTGGTTTCATTTGAATATTAGCTAAATCAACATGTTGGATTAATATTATTTAATTAATACATAATTTAAGTATTGATAATAGTTAGTTACCTATATATTTACTATCACTAAATATCTCCAATAGATTAAACTAATTTTAATCGAAATAAAAGAGGAATAGTTGCATCAACGAAGATTCCAGTGTAACTTTTAAATAGATTGATGAACTCTTTGAATTTAAGAAATTTTTTAATTGAAAGATAAAATTAAATGATGAAGTTATTGCAGCTAATGTATCGTATCTATTTATATCTAATACAATGTATGCCAATATATAATCACTGTTGTAAAATAATATACACAACCTATGAATGTTGCTAAAATTCTAATAACATTATTTTTTCTCTTAATGTATAGGACTGGTGTAAATAAAATAATATTTCTATTAGATATAAATATATGATATGCATAAACTGCAATAACTTGATCTTTTTATTTTATTTGCACAAATCCTATCGATCAATGAAAAAAAGCTTTATTAGACTTTTTTGCAGCATTCATAAGCACTTGTACTAAGCTTTATTGACGATAAGTCTTGCGACGCGGAACATATATTATTATCATTAATTATTATGTATTTTATTTTATGGCTTATTATACATTGACATACATTCTATTAGATATCAATAGATGATATGCCCTCATTCACGTGCAGCGCTATGTATGTGAATTACACGAATAAGAACGAAGTATGAAATGCATATGAAGATTATCCGAAATATCTGGAATTTTAATTCATGTCTAAAAATATTTTTTTAGATCCTTTCTTTAATTTAATTTTTGATGATTTAAAACACATCCGTGGCTTTGTTTTTTATCCGAAACGATTTGAAAGCGAAAATTCTGTT